GAAAAAAAAAACATTTTCAATGTTAATAGTATTTGTCATTTTCTTGTTCATAATTATTTTTACCCAAGAATCTTGTATATCCATTGCTTTCTAAAAAGAAGGGCAAACATTCAAGGTAAGTAATTAGAAGAAATATTGACAAAGTAATTTTTTTTGGAGACTATTATTTTACCGTGCGCTTAAGAACGTATTACGTATACCTACCCGCTAAATTGAACACTAGGCACAGTTTAGTACTCGTATGTACAACAGGTACTACTTTGGCAATTTATTTTACATAGTTATGTTTACCGATTATTATCAAAAACCAATATTCATTATTTGATGACATTTTTTCCCAAGGAATTAAGCCAATCAGATGCTTTTGAAAAAATTGTTATATCTTGTACCCTATCTCTCTTATTCTATTATATCTCGTATTCTAAATTGAAACAATGATCATGTTAAACAATTAACTTTGTGTTTGTCTATGTTATCATTTCGCTAGAAAATACCTAAAACTTTGAATGCTATAACTAGAAGTAGGTATTGAGTAGGTATGCAGTAATAAAATGTAAGTAAAACATAAGCTATAAATTAATCCGAATATTTTGGGACAGTCACGACAATTTTCTACAACTACTTTTATAAATCCATACTAATAATATAAATGTGAAAGTGTGTTTGTTTGTTTGTTTTGTTTCTCCTTCTTTCACGTCGAAACGGTGTGATGGATTGGCATGATTTTTTTTGTAGAGATAGTTCGAGGGCTAAAGAGTGACAAAATTTACTTTTATCGTGGGAGATTATATCATCCCCACGAGAAAGCACTAATCAACACAACCCAAAAAATATTTATGAGCAGAATTACTTGAAACTTAGTAGATATTAATGATCTTGAATACAATTAAATAAATACGTGCTTAAGCATTTTTCGAAATTCATACCATAAGGGGGTTAAATATGGAATAAAAGTTTGTATGAAACCTACTTTTTTTTTTGTAGTTTTAGCGCGAGCGAAGCCGCGGGTTCTGCTAGTATAATATAATTGTAATAAGTTTAAATAATTGAATAAATAATGTTTGGACAAAAAATGCAGTTTTTTAAGAAAATGCTGACAATATTACTTTAGTCCAAAGCAACATAAAAAGCAAATTTTTACGGGACTACAAAAAGATATGTAGCAACAGCCGTAATGTATTCGTACGTTGCTTTAGGGGTACGCTGCACGCGGACAACAATTAATGTTTATTATAGAAATGATGCACAATAAAATTTTAATGGTACTTTTTTATTAGAGTCAGCGCCAGCTAATGAATGACAGTGCTTTAATGTAGTACAAACCATATTATCAAAGAGTTTGCACATCTAGAGCATCCACTATATACTATTTAGTATTTACACACATATTACCGCTTCCGATTGCCCGTAACAATGGATTTGGTCAAGCCAAAATTTGTTATGTATATATCACAACCCATTTATTTTATCATCTCATGAAAACGGATCACGTAATAAGCTTTGCGGACACGAGACGTAATGAATAATGTATTTTTCATGTATAAATATTGTTTTCCAATAAATTATGCATTCAGATCATTTTTTCATGACAACTTAAGGAATTTCAGTAAACTAAAAATAAGTTACCTTCCGATAAAGTGTAAAGACACAGTCTACCTCAATACCTCTATTATAATAAACATTAATTTTGTTATTCTCGAGAAAAGTTTGATCTCTGTAGGCACCGTTACACGTTAAAACAACATAAATTTATGTATATAGCTAGCTACTGGTGACTCGGCCCTCCGGTCTCTACGTAATAGTTGTAACAGACTGAAATATTACTGGGGAAACCTATTGACGTACGGAAATAAAAGTAGCCTTTGGAACGCTCATATCTTATTAATAACTATATGTACTATAACTACTCATATCTTATTTTCATTTCATTGTTATTGCGTGAACAGGAACAAATGAATACCAAAAATTAGAATGATGTTTAAAATATACATATAATAAATTACAGACCCTTCAGAAACCCTAGAAATACTCACCCAACACGCAAATCCTGATTGAATCGTGCAAGGCGAACAATTAACACTAAAAGTTTAATAATATATTTTACTGAGTAAATTTTTTAGGCTTGCTTCTTATTATTCCAATCGATTTAAAGAAAATTTTTAGTCGCTGTATATTTGAAAAGCTATCTTAAAGTGAAGTTGATGAAAGGTAATCTAACTTAGCTTCACACTGAAAGCTTCTTACAGAGAGGTTTTGTTTAACTTTGACAAGGCTTTGTGGCTGCAATAGTGCTAGCGTTAAGAAGTTCAAAGAAAACTGAGAGGAAAACATTTTCTTTAAAGCGTCATTTAATGTCGACCATTCTATTTGGTATAGTACTTTTATTTTATTTTGTTCACATAAACGTACTTGCACTCTAATTGCAATAATACAAACATATGCAACAGAGCTTTTGTATTTTTAAATTCAAAAAAGAGCGCCTCTACGTCGATCTCTATCTCCTACTTTAATGAGCCGATATGGCATGAATACCTATACTGTAATATATAACTACATTTTAATGAAATGACCTCGCAACATAATGTACAAACAAATCGCTATCGCATATAAACGAGTCAACCTTCAAGCCTTTTTTATACACTTAGAAAACATTGCGTACTGTTTAGTGAACCTAAGTCACGTATGTGCACTAAGAATCACGATAGAAATTATAAATGCCACTTTTCAATAGGTATACTAGATAGTAGGTATTAAAATTGTCTTCGTAGCTTTTATCTCATTTTAAATTTAATAAGACTATTATTTTTTATATCACTATTGCCCGCGGCTCCGCCCGCGTTCAGATGACCAAAAATCGAATTCTTAGGTTTTACATATTAGTATACTCTCACATTTCAGTTTTTGTATTTTTTCTCAGAAATGAGATATTTTCCCGCGATAAAAAGTATCCTATATGTTTACCCGGATAACCAGCTATCATCATACAAAATTTCATCAAAATCCCTCCAGTGGTTTTTCCGTGATGCGGTAACAGACAGACAGACAGATAGACAGACAAAAATTCTAAAAACTATAGATTCGGCCTCTGTATCGATAATAATGTCTATTTCAATAAGATTTTCCAAAAAATATTTAATGTACAGATTCGGCTTAGTTACAATTTTATTATATGTATAGATTAAAGGTTTCATAAAAAAGATACGGAGGCAATAAATAAAGAGTGAGTATTTACTGAATCGACCCCTACTTAATTAAATGGCGGATTGAAATAATAAATGTGGTTGTGATCAGTAATAGCATTCTCTCAAAGTGAGACTTCATCCCGGAACCTTCAGCTCAGTAAGAAGTGCCAACCAGACCAATGCGGCACGGCGTCACAACATTCGTTCATCACTCTCTCATTTATAATTATAATTTTTGTACGACTTCAAAAAGGAAGATATTTACATACATAGGTACGAGAAAAAAAAATCTGTCCAATTTGGACTGTATTTTGACTCGTATACATCACAGAGTTATGATACACATTTTTGGTATTCGTATAGGGTTTAAAATTTCAGTGCAATGTAATTTTAGTAGAGAGATGAACAACACTAATTTATGTATAGTACTAGCGACTCACCCTCGCTTCGCTCGAATTCGTCCCTAGGTACGTTTTAATTTTTTTGAGCGGAACCCTAATTCTTTTTCTAAAATAAAAGTAGCCTACGTTACTCCCTATAACATCAGCTATCTTCCAGTGAAAGTCCCGTCAAAATCAGTCCAGCCGTTTCAGAGACTATCCGGAACAAACAAACAGACAGACAGACGGACAGACAGACAAAAAATTAAAAATTTGTGTTTTTCTTATAATTACCATGTTATATAGTTTCATATGAATTTAGTAAAACGCTGTTATTTTGACATTACAAATAGACACTTAAATTTTATTTAACTGTATAGACTAGCGGCTCACCCTTGCTTCGCTCGGGTTCGCTTCTACAAAAACAACAACAAATCTATCCTTCGGGAACCGTACCTTTTTACGAGATAAAAAGTATTATTCCAAACTATAATCTATCTCTGCGTCAAATTTCACCCAGATCCGCTCAGCCGTTCTGGCGTGATTATGTAATAAACATCCAAACATCTAAACTTTCACATTTATAATATTAGTAAAATAAAGAGTTTTCTTGTTGAGCTTAGTTCGACCGGACGTTTGTAGCTGACAGCTACGACGCCTGTAAGCGACGCACGTGTGCCTACGTCGCGTCGTAGAGGCCGCTACATTCACCGTTGGCATTCGATAATTTTTTGTATTACATTTTTTTTCTTAATTATGAAAATCTCATAATAGAAATTGCATCAGTAATAACTAGAAAAATATCAGTATTTTTATCAATAAAAATTAAAAGGTGATAATATCATAAAAAGTAAAATAAACGTAAGTATATATATAAAAAAAGTGTATATTATATATGATTTTTTTTTCTTTATGTGAAAATAATTATATATTCTCCCATTAAACTTATGTAAGAAAGATAGATAGTCATTTTAAATCCAAAGTAGTGAAATGTAGCGTAGGTACGTACAGCGTATTACATGAACACTTACTGAAAGTATATGTATGCTTAATTAAAACATATTATCTTTATACGACGAAAGTGAATAATGGAAAAAAAAATTTTTTTTAATAATCTTAATTATAGCTGTCGTAGCAATGTATGGTTATTATTTAAAACTATTTAATTCCAAATAGAAATAAAAATTGTGCATATATTATTGTATGCCTTTAATGTCACCACGGTCTGTGGTCACTACTTTCTGTTTCTTACAAAATCTGGTAAAAAGGTAATCTTTCTAAAATGGCTATTAAAAGAGGTCTTCATTAAAAAAGTGTATTAAAGAATGTGTGTGTATATATTTGTGCCTAGATTAATACAGTGTAATATTTTTAAATTATATATTTTTATAATTTTAGTATATTGTCTTTTGTAGTATAAATAATTGTATGTACTCACATCAGAGCGATGTCCACGTAAGTTATAATTGGTACGTAATGGCAACTCATGCGGCCGGCGGGCGTGGGAGGAGGTGAATGTGACGCCCACGACGCCGCGCACGTTGCCTGTCGCCAGCCAGCCTTCTTGATAGTAGTTGTTGCGGTTCAGCTTCCATCCTTCTTCCTGTATCATTTGAAGTACTTTATAATTTTTTTGAACAAAATAAATGTACGTAGTGTTCAATTGCTACAAAAAAAAAAAAAATATATATATATATATATTTAAATGCGATAAGTCTTTTTACCCGACTGCGGCGAATCCCAAAGGGGGATTATGTGTTGTATGTGTTATTTAAGAAATTAAAATTAATTAAGAATAATAATTTTAATTTAGTTTGATATTAGTTGAAAAAATTAAAATATTAAGCAACACTACAATCAACAAACAATCATTACAAATGAAAAATATTAATTTGAAATACTGTTATTTTGATATATGTGACGTATATTATTAGAAATTATCTATATAAATAAAAATGAATCACCAAAATGTATGTACGCGCATAACTTCCGACCGACTGCTCCAAATTGAACGATTCTTTTTTTGTATTTGTTATTGTCAGGACTAGCTTTGCTTAAAAGAAAATTAAAAGAAAAAATATTTTTGCTAAAATAAGATTTTTTTTAAATCTCGTGATATGAAAAGTGAGTAAAATAGTTTTTATCCCGGAAATCATCCCTTAAAGAAGTGAGAATGGGGATTGAAGTTTGTATACGGAAGCAAGCTAGGGACAAGCCCGAGCGAAGCGAAAGTGAGTCGCTAGTATATGTAAAAAATGGCAAACTGTCAAATACGACGACGACGGTCTATCTTGTAAAACTTTATCTCTATACTCATGTAATAAGTAAAATAATTTATTTATCAATTCAAATAGTGCACGTTGACGCTCACTGCTTCGCTAATTTAAAGTCGTGCTGCGAAACATTTTCCCTTAGGACTTTAAATATGTTTTACATCATAACTCAGTTTCACGCGTCATATCATATTATAATAACTAAATATACATATTTATTACAATAAGAGAACATACTGGCTACTATAAATTAATGTTTTTTTTATAAACCTGAATAAAAAATATTTCAGTTTATCTTAACCTTTTAAAGTGGTATCCTTTGAGTCAGTATCTATTATACCTACTTTGCAACTATTTTCTAATGCACAAGTATATATTATTTTCTTTGATTTATTACCATGATCTATGACTTTGACATACGATATAGCGTCACTTTCCTTCCCTGTTTCGTAAGAACGTGTTTGTTTAAATATACATGTGCCTGGGCGAACGAGCTTCGTCCGGAGTTTTTCTACAAAAGTACAATTTTCTTTTAAAAATAAACCAAAAACTTGAATAAATAAAAACAAAAGTTTTTACTTTTGTTTTTATTTATCAAGTTTTTGGTCGTTGTATCCAACCGGGTTCCGAACTCGGACACCTATAATTGTCAATTTTACGCCTTGACCGCTTGACCACGATACTTATGCCCTTGCGTGCGAAATTATCGACCATATTTTGCGTGGAATAATGCGAAAGAAAACCGCATTAAAACTCAAAAACACGCGTTTTCCCAGACATAAGACTAATCTAGATCGATTTTCGCCCCAGAAAACCTCCACATACCAAATTTCAGCGAAATCGTTAGAGCCGTTTCTGAGATCGCCGGTATAAATAAATAAATGAATATACAAGAATTGCTTGTTTAAAGGTATTACATTTTTGTATTCTTACTTTTAATAGCGTAAAATAAGGTGATTAAGGTAATTGTAATGTTGAATTGTCTTACAGAACTTCTTATCCGGCTAAAGTAGAATATTAATTAGTATATTCACATTCAAAAATATTTAATTAACAGTAAGAAAAATATATTAAAAAATCTCTATGACTTTATTATAATTATAGATCGACTCCATAATTCATTACAGTTTTATTGGTTTGTAACTCTCTAAAAAATCACATAACTTTACACTACTTAGATCTTCATTTTTATCGCAACCTCATTTTTACTCGTAATCTTATAGTAAGGGAACTTGGGCTGTAACGTTGAATTTTCTCTAATGATTAAAATGGTCGTTAAAAATGTCAAGGGTCATTTCCTACGAGTAAGACGGAATTAAATAAGTTTTGAAATATCTTAAGGATAAGTTCTCATCCCTCTTTCAGATGATTATACAGAAAACAGAGTCGTATAACTAGCCTATAAACTAACAAAAAGACATTCTTCAACCGAGACCTGAGCTATGCTACGATGTCTCCAGCGGTTTCAAGTTGATCAATAGTAGATCGAAATCGAAATGCATGTATAATAACGCCACCATGTCAGTCCGACTTCAGGCCGGGACTTGAGACTTATGCAATTGCAGCGAGAAGTATGTAATATAGTGGGATCAGATGTCTCTTCTTTTACCTTATTTTTGACGGACTAAACAACATAAAAATGAGAGTATCTTACCATTGAAAACGAAAAAATAAATATTTACCGACTAATACAATAAGCGTTATAAATACTTGCAAGGGCTGTAGTAGGTGTAAGACCGTGTTACTGGGTACCATATCTTGCCATTAACATAGTGGTGATGGCTAAGGTCATCGAGCATCATGCTGAGGTAATTCTCATGGATGTTTCGTACATGTTGGTATAACAATAAACATGGACAAGATATCAATTGTAAACATGGAAATTATGAAAACTGTAAATGTTACAATTACTCTAGTTTCTATCGGGTATCTCTGATCTTAAAATAGTTAACGAGAATGTATGTATATTTGGAAAAACTCGGATGACCAATGTTCGGGAATCTATGCAACATATTCTCGTCCCAAATAACGCAGTGTCTCAAGATAAAAAGTCTCGACTAATGTGTTACACCCCAAAATGTGCGTTCATCTTGTCGTGGTGGGGTTGCTCCTGGTACTTCGCTTATAGCAGAGTGGACTGTTGGAGCAACCCCATGGTTGTTATGGTCTTTTTCGGCAGATCTGCCGTCGGGGCGTCGTAGTTAAATGCGTAAGCGATCCTGCGACGCTCCATTAAGACGGGAAAGGTACAATTTGGTTTTATTGGGTAGTACTGGCTTTGCCGGTGAGTCCCACATAAGCACCTGTGTGTATGCAGGTGGTATGACTAAATGCATTTCCCAACGTTATAGCACATGAGACTAAGACGTGCTTACATACAAAAGGTCTAATAAGAAAGCTCAAGATCATCCAAAGAACAACAGAGAAAGTTATGCTCAAAGTTTCACTCTTGCATCTCTTACATCGCTATACAAGAGCAACACTACAAGTAGTAGATAGTATAATGAAAGACGTCCAACAAAGCCACTGGCGGGCCATCTCCTTGGGGGAAGCCTCCACAGTGAACGTCTTTCGGATGATAATGAAGAAGTAATAAATATCGATGAGAAAGATAGATGAAACGAAGATAAAGTATAAAATTGAAAACTTCGATAAGTTAATAGAATATGTTCCACAAAATTGAAATGAGTTTTAAAAGCAATCAACGTGAAATGTTATGACATACATGTATATTATGTATATCCTTGTGAAGGGCGAACCGGAGATGGAGAAGAGATTGCCAATTAACCACATTAGTTGACCGGTAGGAGTGGACCCTGGGATAGACCTATTAATAGACAACTACATCAAATGCAAATAATATTTGTATTTTAGATAGACTACTAGCGACTCAACCTCGCTTCGCTCGAGTTCGTCAGTAGGTAGTTTTTAACAGTCAGTATAGAATAAAGTATGTATATGTACATCCATAAGTATAGAAAAGTAGGCAAGTATTTTAAAAATAAAAAAAACTATTTAAAAAAATAAAAACCGACATCCAGACACTAAAATATAAAAAATAACTAAACGGGGGTTTTCATTTAGAATAGATACCGAAGATATTTTCGAAGTCGGTGCCAGCCGATGCAAAGCAAATCTAATATATTTCGATACGTAAAACACATATTTACATATGTATTAGATATTCATATCTTAAAATATTGTCGGCTGGCAATTTTAGAAATTAAATAAAATCAAAATTAGAAGTTAAAGATTATGATGCAGAAAGGCTAATTTTTCTGCATTTTCAGGCATTAGTTTACTCCTAGACAATCACAGATTCAGAGAAAAGACGCTCTGAATAAATACTACTTCCTGGCGCCAAACAAGAAACATACACGTAGATATAAGTTTTCCCGCTACGCGCTAACCGAATATATATACTTTTACCTAATATTCGGCTATTCGGCAGAAACCCCACCGAATATTCGGTATTCGGCGAATATACTATTCGTTGCAAGTTTTTTTTTGTGGTACTAATCTATCATCATCGGTTTGCGCTGAATGTTGCTAAGTCAATTTGATAATTAAAGAAAATCATCGTTATGTAATTAGATTTTTTTATAATTTAAAAATGAAAAAAAGAGGAAAATATAGATTACGCTTACGTCGAGGTCACGAAAAATCGCATATGACAATTTAGAACGGGTTATCTGTACAAATAAGGAGAGATCAGAGTACAGAGTAGTGTTAAAATAATAATACACTTAAGCTTTTCTTGAATTCAAAAAACCAGAGAACATATTTCAAACAAAAAATGTAGGACAATAAATCTTTTAGTTTTTGATTATGCTAAATCACGAAACTCAATAATCCTTAAAAAATATATATGATGATCCACCAAGGAGTACCTTTTTAGTTTTGTGGGAGTGTGGCTGGCTTAAGTCGCGCACAGAGACTTTCCGATGAAAGAAGTTATTACATTTTGAAAAGTAATCGGTCCTTACTATGATACTATTAAAGTAATGAAATATGTACGTATTAAATAAATTAAAATCAAACAACTGTTTTATGAAGGTGATATTTTTGTTGCACTGCAGTGTACATAGCCAGTAATATAAATAAACTTTGATGCTTGAAAATGGACGGCGTACGTATTTTCAAATGTGTATAGAAATGTTTAGATCTGAATATGCAAATTCTGTGTTGTCAGTTTGAAAACGAATATTAATTAAGTTCAGCTTGTTAATCTATATATGATAATAATATCTAAATAAATATCTATACAGATAAATAAAATTGAAGTGTCTGTTTAGAATATTAAAATAACAGCTTTTTACTAAATGCATATGAAATTATATAAGGTAGTTATTAAGCAATTTATTTAAAAAAATGATTTATTGGTTGATTTAAAAAAAACCGCTTGACCAATTTCAATAAAATTTATATGGGACCACCTGGGAAGTATATACCCTTTGAAACAAAGAAAAATCCAAATCGATTCAGGCGTCTTCGAGTAATCGGTGAACATACATAAAAAAAAGATTCCGACGAATTGAGAACCTCTCACTTTTTGGAAGTTGGTTAAAAAGATAGATAACACTTAAATATTTATAAAAATTACGTTCATGTAATGCTAATAATTAATTATTGTAAATAATATCATGAAAATCTATTCAAAATATTCATCCAAATCGAGTCCTATTTCAGGGTTAAACAATAGTAATAATACGTACTATTTTTTACTATTATTAGTTATGCATGTATGTATATGGGTATGTATGTATGTATGTATTTAGGATATGCAATTGGGTGTAGTAAGTACAGCGCCTACCATTTCATATAATTTCTCCTACGCCCTAAGGTTGCCTGGAAGAGATCGCGTATAGCGATAAGGCCGCCTCCTGTGCATCATCTATTGTTTATACCTATCTTCTTTGTGTATAAAGTATCTATCCATCTATCTATCTATCTACTATAATTGTGAAAGAAATGAAGTTTGTTTGTTATCAATTCGGGTTTAAACCACTGAACAAAATTTTCATAAGAAATAAAAGGCAAGAACATACATTGCTATCATCATCATCATCATGGAGACGGCTTTCTTTTATTCCCACCCTGCGTATAACAACAGTATTTTCAGAACAATTTTATCTTATTTAGTGACTTACTCTTGCTACACTCGTACCTTTTTATTTATAATATCGTACAAGCAGTCAAATATTTTGGCAAATTTTATTGCAAATACAAGCTTATCAAGTCTATCTGAGGACTATTGACAGATTGTCCAGCCGTTTCAGAGTTAATGAGACTAAAAAGTAAAATCAGATCCGCGCACCTACGATTTATACGATAAAAATTATTCAGTCAGAAAGTTAAACCGGTTATTTATTACAATTTTATAACTACAATATGTACAAAATATAAAAGGCATTATAACAAATGCATATTACACATTTTAACAGAAAACTTTGCTTATTACTTTGAGACTGAACATCGCAAACTTGACTAGAGACGAGATGAAACTTCTATTTCGTGTTGCGTAACGTTAATATTTCCAGTTCTCTTCGTTTGATATTAAGATTTTATTTTCTTTTTTTTTACGCTAACTTATGTAGACATTGTGAACTATTGGAATATTATGCTTGTAGACAATTATAATTTTCTTTTAAAAAGTAATGTAACTAAATAAGTTATTCCAAGTTTATCTATTAATTAAAGGTTGTGATTTTCATTACATTTTTGCTGTACACTACATAAAATGATATTCTATAATATTATCTTCGGAATTATGATTTGCCACTGCGCTATCATAGGTACACGACTCTTTCACAGTTCACACTCCGGTACGATTGGAAGGCGCAGGAGCGATGAGCTGTCCAAGACGAGACAGGCAGTCAAACATAAAATAAGACATTTAACTTGAGTGCTTGATGACTTTTATACAATATCATAACATCAAAAAAAACTTTGCAATTATAAAATTGTCACGTCGTTAAGCACTTCATACTTACAAAAAATGAATATAACCAACACGTAGCGAGCTCTATTTTAAACAATGAGAAAGAATTGTTCAATTTTTTTATTTCGAGTTAGTATCAAACAATAGGCACTAACTTTTAAATTAGATACTCGAATTATTGTTTTATAGCTGAAATTTACGTTCCTACAGGGAGACTCTAGCATACAATAGGCAGCATTAAATGTTACCTACTTTTGGGAAAGGTACTAATAAAAACATAGAAGCACTCTAAATTTCCTTGAAGAATTGATGACTCTGAGGAAAAAGGTTGCAATGGGGTCTACGAAAGGTATATTAAAATCTTTCGAAGGATATAATACTGCAAGGAATGTAAATAGTAGGGAGCCTAAGCTTTCCAAATGACGGTCTTCGGTTTAAGCGAGTTCAAAGCCTTTCTAAGCCGGCCTTACATGACACGTATGCCTTTGAATTTAGTCAGTCTTTAAATTCGATTTTGAATTAAATTGTTTTACAATTAGATTTTTCTTTGATACACTTATTGACGTATTATTTGTAAAAACTCGGGAGCTATCTATTCTGAATAAAAAATCTTTTTAAATACTGTTTTTTTAAGAAAAAAATATTTTTGTAGATGTTAGGTACTTAGTATTACTTGGGCTCATAAAACTGTTAGTATCTTGAATATATCTACCTACACAAAATCAGTTAATAGTGCCTAAAGGCCGGTTTAGACTTTAGACATTATACACGGTATTTGTACTTTAGACATTGTACAGTGTATATACCGAGTGAACCGTGTATAGTAGTCTAAACCGGCTTTGAGAGTATTAAATATGAATCTTTTGTCAATTAAATTGCTTTGATATATCCAAGTAATTTAGTTTATGGACTTAACTCAATTCCAATGTTACTAGTCAATATATGTAATTTATAAAATAAAAGCTGACGCAACTGAATACGGCTTTACCTCCAACTAGGTACTTAGAAACCTTTGGAAATATTTCAGTTATGTCCTATGCACATATGTATGTAACCATTGCTGAAAAGTAAAATGAAACGTGACAAAGGCGGACAATTAAACGAACTATTAAAATGATCTTTTAAAATGTTTCTTCTGCTATTTGTAAGATCATTGAATTATATTTCATCATTATTAAAATTAAGGTAAAGGCGCAGATCATATAATACTATGTAAAGGTTACTAAAGTAAAAATATTATTGCTTGATGAAATATCTACATGAATTCTTATAAAAACGCAAAACTTTTTCGTGGTGTTTATGATCATGCATTATCAATACATGCATTACATTTACCTGATTAATGCTCCACTATTGTTATGAAAATCGAAATTACACCAATAATGTCGTTTTCGAAATTATGTTTCTTATAAGGTATAACATTAGATAATTATGTCCACTTCATTACTTATCGTTGTGGCCGACATATTAAAAAAAAACTATAAATAAAAGTCATTCGTTCTCTATTTCTGCAAATCTGTAATGGCCAAGTTAAATTATTCTGCCTTTACTTTATAGGAATTGTTCCCCGTCGAATTCGCTCAGAACTGGCAAATCGAATTCAATTTAAATATAATGGAAATTTAATGTAGTGTAATAATGCGCAGGTTCAGTGGGGCACACTGGTTGCGTAGTTTTTATGACTGTTAATTTGTTTGCTAATTTACAAAGTTCCTAGACAACCTTGAGTTGTTAAATATTTTTACACAATGTAGAAATTATTATAGTTTCTAAGCTAACTCAATTAGAATTTAATAGTAATTCTTTTCCTAAAAAGAAAGTAATTATATAAGTACTTATTACAATGCTTAAGGTTACGATTCGTATACCTATCTTTTATTCGATTGAAATACACATACTAAATAGGTATATATATTAACCTAGAAGAAACATTAACTTAAAAATAATATTTTTTAAATAATGGAAATATGTTTCATATACGTAAACAATATTTACACTTAATAATTCTAATGTTCACATAAGAACACAATAAAAGATAAGTTAGAATTAGATAACAATTTCGAATGCATGTCATTGCAGGCTTACCTCAGGTAGCTCGTCAGGAACTTTGCCCATCCACGACAGCGACAGTATCGTGCAGTCGCATTTTGCGTTTACGTTCCTTTCAAAATGTAGATGCATTCTTGCAATATCACTGGCAACCTTATCACTGAAGTGATGAGACGCGCGCGAACACCACGTCAGTCACGAAACGAGAATATATCATTTTATGGAGTGATTCATTTTAAAAGGGCTTTAAAGTTTGCGAGGGATGGGTCGAGTCGGGCGGTCGGCTGACGTGACTGAGCGTGACAAGCTGCCTGGCCTTCCCGAGGGTTGTGGCGCGCAGATATCGATTGCGCGTAGGGGCGGTGTAGCACGACCTCTGTGCTCGGAGTGCGTAAAGTGGAAAAATCGGAAAACTCTCGGAAACACGAGGAGATGGCGCGGAGATTGTGGCTTAAAACCTTTTATGTTAAGGTGCAATCTAAACAAACAAAAAGATTGAACAAACCTCACTTTCTTGGCTGTAAATACGTAAATTTTCTGAAAAGTTTTAGTTATTATGGGGGTTGTGGTGAATAATTTCTGCTTAAATAAAATATAAATGAAGGAAGCAAATGTATTATTAAATCAGTGTTCTCTCAATATTATAAGTATGTGAAACGTCGTGTTACGTTATGAATATTTTATTTACGAAGTAAGTATAATATTTCGAATGCCAAGATCAAATAATTTTACCTACCCAAGAGATACACAAAAATTAAAGCAATGTAATGTTTTCATCTTATAAATATTAATTCTTTATTTTTAATTATTATTTTTATTTTCTAAATTGCAAAAGCAGTTTATTAATTTGAAGTAATTAAAAAAAAATAAGCCCGACTTCAAAAAAAGTAAAAAGTAAAAAATAACTAAACGGTAGTTTATTTTCCAAAATTTGGTCAACTTCTTGGCAGGAAAAATTCAATACCCAATAGCCAGTACAAAATTCATTTGAAGAGTTTCTTGTTTCTTTTCCGTACACCTGGCTTCTTCAAGAATGCATCGATAGCACGGGTGCATATTTTCATTGATAAAAATAAAAAATATTTACAAAAAAATACTTTAACTTTCTGTATATTAAACGGCAATTTCTAGGTAAAGACCTAATAATCGATAAATTTATGTATATATAATATTTTAACTATAATTAGAGTTCATACCTTGTCATATTTACTTATTAGATATTCATTTCTTAAAGCATTGCCGCCTCGCACCGACTTCGAAAATATCTGATTAGGTTACGTTATAAGTACAAAGTGAAATAAGTTTTGTAATAAGTACCTAGTATTTATAAAACTATTTCAGTTTTAGTTACATGTTTCAGTCCATATCATTAAAACTCCAGAACCGATTTTGATCAAATCGTTACTATTCCCTAAGTTGAAATAAATGTAAGCAAAAAAAATTATAAATACGATCCAATTACTAGTTTTCGAAAAATACGTACACAAACATACATACTATGCAAAGATACATAAATACATACACCTATAAAATTTTGTATATTTGTTTGGAAGCTCCAATAGATTGTGAATATTTTGCAAATACAATAAATAATATTATATTCATAAGTTTCAAATTAATAACCTCACTTTTTTGAATTCGGTTAAAACACATTGAAAGAAGAATGAAGAATTGAAATAATTTCTACTTTTGACTATTATATGTATTTATTTAATACTAGCATTGCCCGCGGCTCCGCCCGCGTTCAGATGACCAAAAACCAAATTCTTAGCTTTTAAATATTAGTATACTCTTACATTGCAGTTTTTGTATTTTTTTTCAGAAATGAGATATTTTCCCGCGGTAAAAAGTATCCTACATGTTGACCCGGATAACCAGCTATCATCGTACCAAATTTCATCAAAATCCCTCCAGTGGTTTTTCCGTGATGAGGTAACAGACAGACACACAAAAATTCTAAAAACTATAAATTCAAAAAATATTTAATGTACAGATTCGGCTTTCTTACAATTTTATTATATGTATAGACTAGCGATTCACCCTCACTTCGCTCAGGTTCATCCCTAAATCGATTCCCCATACAAACTTTCATCCCTATTTTCACCCCTTTAAGGGATGATTTCCGGGAAAAAACCCCTAGGTATAGATCTCCGTTGGAAAAATTACAAAAATATAAAACTTTTGCAATTTGTGCAAGCGGAACTTGTTTTTTACCGACTTCCAAAAAGGAGGAGGTTCTCAATTCGTCGGAATCTTTTTTTTCTTTTTTTATGTATGTTCACCGATTACTCCAAGACGCTTAAACCGATTTGGAAATTCAACAAAAAAAAATCAGCAATAATTTTTTTTTTAAATAAATTGTTTAATCGAATATGGTATTAAAAAACTTTCTTCTTCAAAATTACCTGCTTATTAGGTCTACACTACAAATGGACAAATAAAAACTTAAAAAAAATTACAAACCGACTTCCAGGCACTAAAATGTAAAAAATAACTACATAAACGGGGGTTTTCATTTAGAATAGATACCTAATCAGATATTTTCGAAGTTGATGCCTGGAAGTCGGTTTTTATTTTTCTTTTTAAGTTTTTATTTTCAAAAATCATCTACATGCCATTCCGAATTGAATGACGCCTCGTTCATATTTTCCGAGACTGCTAAAAAAGTTAACCTAAAAGGCACTTGTTGACTAGACTATTAAGTATATTAATCAATATATTCAATAAAAAGAAAAAGAAACAAATATTTTTTGAAAAAATCTTTTATTTAGCGATTACAAAAATATCACAGACAATGACAATATATAAACACAATTCCATGGTTTAATAATAATAATACTACTAAAATTAGGTACATTATAGTGGACGCTAAAATTTCACTTCTTCCATCGTGCCCCACGTGTAGCCGTTCTTCAGTTTGACGGGTAAAGGCACGTTCAAACGCACTGTTTCTTGCATTAATTTTCTCAAAACTTTAATAAAATTAGATTTTTGAGATTCCTTGACTTCGTAGACTAGTTCATCATGCATTTGTAAAATAAGACGGGGTTTGTCTACATCTAAGTTTGTAATTTTATCTATGGCACACATCGCCGCCTTAGCTATATCTGCTGCTGAGCCTTGAATGGTAGTGCTTACGGCTTGCCTTTCAGCTGCACCTGGCAACAAGTAATAATGAACCTAATTAATATTCCGGCATGCATATGATATTTATGAGAAATGAAAAAAAAACTATAAGCTAAACTATCCCTCACAGACCAACGCGCAAAGAAAAGTTAAGTATACATTTTTACCGACTTGAAAAATGGAGTAGTGAATTCAGATGTTTTTGGTGCGTATGTTACGCGACATCTATGCCAATTTTGAAATAAAATTATGATTATTGCATTTTTTATGAACAAGTGTAATTTTAAGAAAAAAGTTAAGACTTATTTTTACGTTTGTGTAGCTATTTTTCAGTTTAAAAAGTCAGTGTAGCTATTTTTCAGTTTAAAAAATCTATATCAAAAATTTAAATATTTTATAGCAAAAGAATACTTATTTTATATGTGTGAACCTTTAAATACGTTTTAACTTAAATATCACAGTGAAATTAAAAAAGCATTTACTACGAAAGTAAATAGCCCATACATCAATATTTAATTCATAGAATACTATTAAGGACACACGAACGAACCTATCTGTCGAAAATGATTACCCGATACAATTAATTATAACTTACTTCGTTTTGAAATTATATTACTGTTTATATCTGGTAAATATCTCCTACGCTTCATCAAAGTTTCAACGTATCCATTTTTCTTACATTCCTCTATCACATTTTGAGTAAATCCCTTAATGGCAGGATAAGTCTTATAAAACGTATCCATAAACATAGCAGCTTCTATTTCATTGACGTCCAAGAGCTGAGCCAAGGTTCTATTCCCCATGCCATAAAGTATACCATAACACAGTTGTTTAGCTTTCTGACGTAAATCATCATCGACCTAAAAAGTAGCACATTATAAAATTAAAAGTTGCCCAATTAAGATATGTTAATAATATAATAATAAAAAATATACAGATATTAAATAAATACAAGATGATAAGAATGACTTATATATAGATCAATACATATCTCTATATACATACATAAACTTTTTAAGAAAATACATATTCTTAAAAAGTTTATGTATATCTAAAACTCACATTATCTTCAGGAACACCGCCCCAAGAGGCTGCAATCGACTTGAAAACATCTATATTCGTGCTCATAATCTTAGTTAACACCGTATCTTTGGAATAGTGAGTCAGAATTCTCATTTCCAACTGACAATAATCAGCTGACACAAAAACGTAGCCCGGCGCTGCTTTAAAAACGTTTCGACAGTTGAACTCTATTACGTCTTCGGAAAGTTCAGTGTCCTTTGTAGATAAATATTTTAGGGGTATAGAAAAGGTCCTAGGAACGTTTTGTAAGTTCGGCTCGTGCATACTAATTCGGCCGGTGCAAGTGTACATAGTGTACAACGGGCTTATCCTGGAAATGGAATAATTTATTCACATCGCTCCCCCAACTCGACGTGTCGACTGTTGCATTTGCAATATTTTCATGAATAATTTCACCCGTCTATTTCAAAATACCAGTCGTGAGTGTAAAGTTACGCGGATAATAATTAATTAAAAGTAGGAGCATTATACATTTTACAACACATTATTAATAGATTAATAACATATTTACATTAATAAAATTGTCCCAACATATTTATATCAATAAAATTCCGCAACATCAAACGTGGTAATCTTCTTAATAGGAAAATATTTAAACAAAAAAATAATATTTTAGTATTCCACACAAAAATATTACGTCTGTCTGAAGATTTGTAACAGCTACCCAATATTGAAAGCAGATGATAATTATCATAATACTGAAGCCCAATGAATTATTTAATTTTTGATTTATGTCGATGGTGCCAATTTTATAGGGACTTTCATTGTCGGTTTGAGAATGCGAGAGTGAACAAATGGAATTCTTGTGGGAATTAACAGACCATTCACTGACAGTTAGAGACATAATTAAAAAAAAAGTCAAACTTAAAACTTTGCCATTATTTTCTCAAAAGTTACAGCAAAACAGACATAAATAATCTAATTTTATCCATCGTTTACCATATAATATGATACTAACCTATTATCGGCACTGTATATATACGCTTGCTCAGTTAAAGGATACAGGGTTTTAGTAAGAATAGAGTTAAGTTTCCTCCAGTAGATCACAATGCTAGCCATTGGACTATTATGTGCGGAAAGTACGCTTTTCTTCGTACTTATCTTACGTCCTTTGTACAATCCTAAAGCCTGAAATTGAAACGTAATCAACTCTTACAAAGCCAGTATTATTTGGTGTAGCAACAAGTGTATAATACGTGGTAGGCGGTGTTTGAAAAAGATAAAAATTATAAATTATATACGTTGAGGAAACTATCATATTATATGTACTATTATAATCATTTCAAATATTTATATAATTTAAAAAATATATACAGTATACACGTTTCATAATAAATTTATTCATACCTTCGCAACATCTTTAGACGAGTTAAAGTTGAAATGGTATCCGCATAACTTATAAGCTTTTTTCTGAAGAATCTCTTGTGAATTTTTCACATCTATCAGAAGTTTTGACGCAAGGTCTTTATCGACAGCAATGCCGTGGAACTCACAATTCGCTAAAATCTTCGATACATGGGCTTCAGTATCTGTAAAAAATCTTAATTAAATATCTGATATTGTCTCTAATATTCTTTAAACTTATATTTTTGATTTATTTCGCACAAAATTATTTATTAGCCAAGAGACTTCAAAAAATTATATAAATAATCAAATATGATACTGATACAATGATTATTATCAAAAGAAAAAAGATTAGAATTGTTAACATACCTAGACAATTTTTCATAAACGGATACTTTTCTAGTAATTTATTTTGCTCTTCTGCTATTGATAACACACACCATGCTTTAATACAAAAGAGTTCATTCGCATTTAAGCTATTATAAGTCCTTTTCTGTTCGTCGACATTTATCTTAATATTTAATAAGTCAACACCGGAATACTTTTTAGCCTTTAAAAATAAGTAAAATAAGCTACAATTGTCAATATTAATTATTAATTCACAATGAATTTATGTTTGAATGATGTAACCTACCAAATCGATTATCTTTGATATTTTTTCGTCGCTATCCAATAACCACTCATACAATGTTATATCAATACATGCGGATGATATATCTTTTCCTAACCATTTCCGTATATGGTTATAATTGGATTTTGAAGAGAACATTGCCATTTTTACTAACGGGTTACAAATAAAATTGCTCAACATAAATTTAAATGTCGTTATTAACTTCCCTAATGTAGTTAAATCCAAATAAAGACATAATTTACGATTTATACAAAATGCTATCCCTCTAATAGGTAAATCTTCTTTAATAGGTGTGATTTCTGGAGGACCCATAATTTTTTTTATTATATGACTACCTATCGCCTCAGATGCTTTTATAGATTTAGAGTTTGTATCCAATAAAATTGATAGCTCTTTCAATTTTTCTATGCAGGTAAAGTTTTTGATAATATCGTGTTCCCGCAAAACGTGACAATTGACAGTGTTTTCTCCAAATTTCATAATAAATTGCTCTGATTTAGGAGAATTTATAATTATTTTAGATATATTATGCTTTTTAGGTAGTCTTTTCAATTTTTTAGGCAACGTCGGCGAATAATCTTCGCCAAAATGTGCCTGTCGTTTAAGTGGACTGATAAAACTCTTCTTTAAACAAGTTATTTCAAATTCTTGAGTATTTACTATTTCATTTTCTTGGGAAACATTTTCGTTTAAACGATTATTTTCCAAATTTATCTTTTCATCTTCGTATACTAATTTTATATCTTCATCCTCATCTATTTCAAACAAAGTTGATTTAAAAACATTTAATATCGTTTTAGAATTCATATCCAAAAAATTAGTAGTATTTTCAATATTATTACTATTTTTACTTTCCGGTACTATTTTTCCATGATCTATTAAAGAGTTAGGTATTAAATCAACCGGTAAACTATCATCAAATACACTCGAATTATCACCTTCTGACGAAAACAAACTTACATCTTTAGAAGAAATAGGTTTTAATGGCGTAATATTTTTATCATTACTATCTAAGTTATCCGAAGTATCGCCAAAGCTTATATTTGGTGAAAAAATTTTATCTGAAGTTCGACATTTAGATATATTGTCTAAGCCTGCTTCTGTAAAACTTAATGATTCCCAAACAATGTCTTCTTTTTCAATAGACAATGGAGTTTTACTGGTCGTATCCTTTATTGGTTTGATGGTTTTATTTTCATCGTTATCAATGGATATATTTTTCTTGAAAAAGGTTTCCCGTTTTTTATTCGCTACAATATCACATGGTTGAATTAATAATTTTTTGCTTAAATTTTGAGATTTAATATCTTCGCATTTCTCATTAATATTGATAAAAATTGTATCCTTAACTTTTGATTTCATTTCTTTTATGTCCGATTGTTTAGTTACTTCATTAGATATATTACAATTTTCACTATGATTTCCATTTTGATTTATTTCCTCGCCAATACTTTCAAAATCGTTACATTTTGCGATTGCTTCACTGTTGCTACCATTACAAGTACTATGATCACTTAATTTTGTATCTTTCCATTTTATTTCTGTTACTCCAATTTCTTGAGCTAAATATCTCCTTGCTTCTAAAATAAGATTTTCCGCTGCCTCTTTAGCTGTTAAGCCACAACAACCCGTTATCCAAATATTTCGTATTTTATTCCTCTTTCGTACATCAGCACAATCGTCGTCTTCTCTTTCTTTTTCACTTTGAAACGGTACAGACTTATGCAGGACATTTTCTATTAAATTTACTTCTGCTGACGCAATACTAGCGATTGTTTCAAATCCAGCATCAAATAAAGTGCGAGCTCGTACACCGTTTAAGGATGTTAATTTCATTAACTCTAGTAGTTCTGAATGTATGCCAAATTGAAGACGATCTTGAAACTGAGATATAATTAGTTCCATATTCTTCCATCCTAACTGATGGCAAAACGCTGTGACCATTCCTAAAATTAATGAGCACATTTAAAAAAAAAGCTATAATACCCCATAACATTATGCTGTTATAAATGTACGTTATATTAAAATTACACGTGTTCACCAATTAAGACTAGAGTAAGAATTAGCGGCTAGGTCGCAAAATCTAGTAAAAAGGCTTGGAAAATAATTGACCATTGGTCCTACGCCTTCTTTGTACAACAAAGCCTCTGCAATTATGACGGCAACGTAAGATTGTCCGGCTCCCGCCCAACGGACTATGAAAGTGAAAGTGCACTATTATGTCTCCCATGCTGCTAGTTTTAAACTTTGACACTGAAACTTAAATTGGCTTAGAAGAACATTATATAAGTTATACCTGCAAATGTAGCTGATGATTGTTGCAGACCTTGTAGGAAACCGCGTGCGCATTGAAATTTACAGGCCACTTCTGACAAAGGCACTTCATTTACTAAATCTTGTAGGGCTAGTGCTGTATAAAATCTATAAATACATTGATATTTTTAGAATATTACGTATTTACTTCATACTAATAAGAGGTTTATTTAAGCAACTTATTATTTTCTTACCTTTTATGTATATTTAATTTATTCTGATTGTTGTTCATATTATTTGTTCCTCTTAAGCAACGAATTATAAAGCTTTCTTGCACACCAACTAACTCTCCAACCCTTTTCATAGCCGCTGTTAAAGATTCCCAAAGGTTCAGTAAATGCAACCAATCTATATTGTTCCACTGGTTACTAACACTATATGGTGTCACCAAGTAAATCAAATGTAAATCCGTTTCGAGTACCAAGCACTGCCGCGCTTTTTGTAGCTCACAAAATAATGATAAGCCATCATTTGGTGCCATAGATGATGATAGGCAAGCTTTTCCCAATGAAGTTGCAACATATTTTTTTTCATTACCATCATCTTGTATTCTTACCAATTCAAAATTAATAAGTTTTTTTAAAGTATCTTCAAGCAAAAATTTTTGTGAAGGAACATCACTTTGTACAAAAAGTAATGTGCACTTGGTATAAAAATCTAACTCAGTTTTTGTACAGATTTCTTGGCTTGCAATCATTTCAAGAGTGGCTCTCATAAATTTATCTTCACTCTCAATACAGCTTTTGACTGGATCTAGGTTTCCCATCATCAAATCAAATCCTATTTTTTGTTCTGCTGCAGTACATAATAAAATACTTTCTCCTTTTACATCTTTACCCATTCTCCCAGCTCTTCCTATCATTTGTTTATAAGTCAATATATTTATAGGTTGTCTTTGAAATACTGGACATCTAATTATTACTTTTCGGGCTGGCAAATTCACACCTGAACTTAATGTAGATGTTGCTACTAATACTCTAATAGCACCTGACTTGAATGCTCCCTCAATAATATCTCTTTCATCAAATGTTAGGCCTGCATGATGATATGCTACACCAAAAGAAATTATGTTTTTCAATATTTCATCTAGCCCCACAGGGCAATTTTTCAATTGTTCTAGTACTTCTAAAATACTGTGTGAATTAAGCTGTTCTCTCAAAATTTTACCTTGCTCATTGTTTAAGCATCCCATTTTAAAAAATGATGATGAAATACTTTGTGCTAAATTCTCACATCGGTTTTTGGTCATGCAAAAGATCAAAATAGAACAACCCTCTTTAATTGTCTCTAAACATAGTGATAGCACATAATCTCCTTCAATGTTTATACTGTTATTAAATGATCCAATACATTTTCCATTTTTATCGTAATATTTATTGCCAACTAAACAATATTCATCTAAAGGTATTGGCCTAAATTCTGTTACAAATAGTTCAGCTTCCAACCAATTTGCTAACATTTCTAAATTGGGTAATGTTGCAGACATACCAACTATTTGTATTTTAACACTATCATTATTTGAACAGACATATTTTATTTTTGTTAAAAGAAGTTCCAAAATATATCCTCTGTGAGGGTCTCCTAATAAATGCAACTCATCAACAATTACAGCTCCTAGCTCAGATATGTTGTTTTCATCTAGCAGTTTATTAATTAAGCTATTTGCTTTTTCTATTGTGCATATTGCTATATGGACTGCTTGTAATCCACCAGGGGGAGACTGAGAGCCCATGAACCCTTCAACTCTTACTCCAGAGCTAGACAAAATATCTTGTAAGTAAAACATTTTTTCTCTTACTATTGACACAAAGGGTAATATTATTATAACTTTTTTTTGTCGCTCTAAAACAGTCTTAATAGTTAGAATTTCAGCTACAAGTGTTTTACCTGCAGATGTTGGTGCAGAATAAACAAGATTTTGGCATTCAGTTAGAACTTTTGAATTGGAAAGACATTTTACTTGCCAATCAAACATCTCTACAATACCTTTTTGTTCATATTTGCTAGCTATTTCTAAAGGCAAACCCCAGTTCCTTAATTTTTTGTTAAATACGCTTTTTTCACTTCCCTGTGTTTTTATATTATCTATGTTAAAAACACTTGTATCCACTTGCTTTGATTGCGTAAGATTATTTTTCTTTTTAACCAAGCAAACCCTTTCTTTAGATACGTGCTCATTCTTTGTTGTTGCTACATAATCCTTAACATAGTTTAAAGAACTTTGTAATGTAAACGAGTTATCAAAGCAACCGGCTAAAAACGACACATTTTCGGTAAAGTTTTGTAAATCCAATTCATCATTAGTTTCTTTTAACATTTTTTTAATTTACATAAAGTTCATTGTATATTATTCATGATTTAAATCATAATTCATTCATTAAAAAGTTAAATGTAACGATATATTTTCCTTTGGTTTGGATTTGACAATTGACATTTCTACGTGATAATGACAATTATGACATTTGTCAATATCTAATACTATTTGACAATTTGTCAGCTGCCTGACAAAATTTTATTTTTAACAATTTGTCTATGAGGGGTAGAGGGAAGGAGGACTATATTATAACGGTCCCTGTTTTCCAATTACAGAGTATAATGCCGCACTTTGAAGCAGAATGCCAAAGTGTGCTATGCTTAATTGGAACTTGAATTAGTTTTCAAGTGCACCTGCAGAGGGCACTAGGTTTAGTGTTGAAGGAAAATAATATAACTAATATGTATGTAATATATAATAATACATATCATCGATATTAAATTATATAATAAACTAGCGACTTACCCTCGCTTCTCTCGGGTTTATCCCTAGCTTGCTTCCCGACTCAAACTTTCATCCCCATTTTCACCCCCTTAAGAGATCATTTCCGGAACAAAAACTATTCTATGTCCTTCCCAGGGTCTCAAATTATCTTCTTACCAAATTTCATCTAAATCGGTTCTCTAGATCCAGAGATTACCCCCTACTACGTCATAAACTCACAAACTTTACCCCTTTATAATATTAGTATAGATATATAATAATATATAACCAATTAATATATAATTATAAAAATAAAATATAAACAAATATTACTAACGATAATGTAAATAAAATTATGATTGAAGAAAAAACCTTGAAGAAAAACATCTCATATTTTCTGTTATTGAATTGGTAATTGATATCCTTGCGCATATCACGCCAGAAAGCAGTACTTTACAATTTACAAAATGCTCAATAGAGCGGAACGTTGCTGTAGTTGGAACATCCGAAGTTAGCATTATACCGCATAATGCGCTTTAATGCTCTAATTGGAAAACAGAGGTGTAAACTGAAAAGATGTTCAACTGAAAGCATTAAAATTTTAATTTAACAAAAGTTCAAGAACCGACTAGAATAGCGCTAGTGTTAAAAGTGTATTAGATATAAATTTAGCAATTTTAAATTGAGTGAAGTACAGAGTTGGAATATTTAATATTATTGGTGATTAAAGTAAGTAATGAAACCTCGGTATACAAAACCTAAACTTGAGCAGTTAAAATTATAACATAAAGAATCTTCTCTAATAAAGTACTTTCCTTAAAATTGACTCTATTAATTTTTTTTTGATGGACACATTTTTGTAAGTAGCAACAGTAAAATAGAGCAAATACGAATTCTACACTCATAAGCAAAGAGTATAGATATATACTGGGAACTCATAAGTTATTATTAGAATCACGTAGCGATAGTGGTTAAATTTTCTTTGATTAGAATCATAGATGACAAATAAAGATTAGAATGTCTTGCATCCATTCAAAAACAAATCAGGTAGCATATGACTATACACGATAAAACACTAAATGGATATTTTAATAACAACATAATTTATAATAAGACTAATATATTCACATAACATCCATATATTATTATTTAATATAATTAAGTACTATTATCACAGAAAATAATGAATACATGGTGACGGTATTATCAAGTACATGTTATTAAAATATAAGTAATTTTAAACATCATAAGGAAATTTTAGTAGCAGTTTCTTCCTTGCCTTCAGTAAGCGCACGAGACTCATGAATGAACGTAGCATATGTAACCCCCTGCAAAAATTATATAGGATATATATTTTTTAATAAAAAGAATATTCTTTTAATTAAAAATTATTGATGTTTGTTTACCTGCTGTGCTGCTGCTCTCACAAATCCCTCATTAGCAGATACTGTGAGTGCTTTAATCCTATGTCCAAAGTTAAAAATTATCTTTGATCTTAAACGAACATGACCTCTTACTTTTAAATTATTCCTCGGATAATCATCTTCACCTACAGAGATAAAAAAATGTTAAGTAATGTAACAACTCTAGACTAAGGAATAATATAAACAGTGTCATTGAACTAAACATGAAGCCTAACAATGTTTTAAAATAGAATACAATTTTATATATTAATAGAATACTCATTACTGTGATAATCAGTAAACAAATTTTAATAAATATAATAGCTATTTTAAACTTTTGCAATAATAAAGGGGAAGAGAGCTAATGATTAAAAAGTACATAAGAAAAAATATTGTTTTTATTATTCATTATTATCCATATTTTCTTCTCATTTTTTTTAAATTAACAACTAATACATAAAATTATATAAAATGTCCTTTATTCTATAAAGTAAACAATCTGTATGGCAAAATCGAGAATAGTAGCTTAAACAGTATGAAATCACATGACTATTTTCGTCTTTGATATACAAGTTGATTAATATTGAAATGCATTGCAATAAACAATAATTTAAAACCGATTTTTCTTGTTTCGGGTTTAATTTTCTTCTTTAACTAATCATTAAAAGCAATACATCCTAGTTAATTCTATACAATTTTTTTTTGATTATTCATATTTTTTATTTACCTCCATAATCATCTTCATAAATTTTAACCATTTCCTTTAATTTGTCTGTACGCTTTCTTTCCATTGGCCCACCTAATGTGTCGACAATCTTTTCAAAGTTTTCCCATGCTGTTCTGCAGCATATTAAAGTTTTACCTGCATATGTGAAAAGGATAACTCTTGAATCTTTACAAATAATAGTATAAAGTAAAGTCACTTCTGCTGTCTGTTCGCTTAGATCTTTTAAACTACTCAACAGATTTTAATGCAGTTTTCAGCAATAGATAGTAATTCAAGAGGAAGGTTTATATGTATAATACATGCATATTATAGTACAGAACCGTTAAATGTACCTAGTGTACGAACCTTCACTAGGTATTTAATATTTAACATATCAATATATTTTGAAATATTGATTTCAAAGTATATTTATATGTTAAATTATTCTAAAACGCCTTAAATTTATATAACAATACCATTCAAGATAAAAAATTTAAATATTTTTTTTAATATACATATGTATAATATATATCACTTTTAGAGTAAATTTATGAGCAAGCAGTGATTTTGCTACATATTGGGAGATTACAAACGCTATTTAACCAAAATCTTATTTAATTTTATTAATCAAAACTATGAAACAATAGGCTTTACCTGCGGTTCCACTATCGGTACACAAGGTAGCTATGTAAATAATTTAATTCCTATGAAAATATTAATTTAAGGACATATAATTATTTCGATTTTCATTCATATTCACTAAGTTGTATGTATGTGTATGTTTTCAGCCCTTTTTAATGTCCCACTGCTGGGCACGGGCCTCCCTTCAATACGTGGGGGGATCAGGCCATAGTCCACCACGCTGGCCAAGTGCGGGTTGGCGGACTTCACATGTCTTTTGAAAACTTGCTAGGTTCTCTCAGACATGCAGGTTTCCTCACGATGTTTTCCTTCACCGTAAGGCAAGCGGTAATCATGTTAGAAATGATTCGCACATGAAAATATCAGAGGTGCGGACCCGGGATTTGAACCCGCTTCACTTGGTGTCCCAAGCGAGCGTGTTACCACTGGGCTACCACTGCCTTTTTTTTTTCACTAAGTTATTACAACATAATTTTTGCAACTTTCTTGTTTATAATAAAAAATAAACTAATATAACATACCTTCAAATAATTTTTCTAATAAAGGTTTAACAGGTCTTTCGGCCTCCCAAGCAGACTGTTGGGTGAGAACATCTTGTTTAAACACATAATGACAATGTCCATTAGTCATGTTGCTCACATATGCCATCATTGCAGTTACATCTAAATTTAACAAGCTAATATCCTGACTTTCTTCCATACATTGGGCAACATCACAAAATGTTATTTGTGGACTGAAAATAAATTAGATTTAATTAAAATAAGCTTTTGTAATGATTATGCATTGTGTGTCAACCCAAACTTGGCCAGCGTAGCGGACCATGGCCTGATCCCCCTCACATTGAAGGGAGGCCTGTGAATGGCTAGAAATGGTTTAGATGCAATTGTACCAAATGATAATGATAAAGTTTATACAATATAAATGACAATGTAATCTTAATCACTCTTGGTCACAGCAGCCAATCTGGCTGAGACTAGGATACTGTGATGATGAGATGTGTTTATGCACATGTCTAATCCTTACATGCAGGATTTTCCTGTGAGATGACAATTTGAAACTTTTGAAAGATATTTATAGGACCAACAGCCTTATGTACTCTCCAAATAATGGTTAGGTTAGTAAAGGTAAACACTGTTCTACCCACTCTGATATATTACTGAGATTTTTTGACTCAGACTCTTACTATATTTTCTAACTCAAGAGTCAAGATCTGCAGCCACTACAACAATATGAGAGTCAAAGGAATAAACTTAATCTTTTAATCTAAATCTGCATATATTTTTTTACCTTTGAGTAAGTACTTCTTCATCACTTGATTCGTAACAGTCATCATATTCTTCAACATTCTTAGAGTCTGGCAATATTTCTCCATTTACTACAACTCCCATTGCTTTAAGCCTATTAGCAAGTGTTTCTTCAATCCCACTAGTAAATTCAAATACAACCTATAGATAGTAAAACAATAAAGGTTCTTCATCAATTTTATTCTTTGTGAGTGATTTTATAAGTGTGCAAAGACAAGTTGAATAAAAATTACTGCCAATGTCAAAAAAATTAATGGAGAATAATCATTCAATATACACATTACATTGTTCATATAATGTGTGCATTGTATGATTATTGATAATTTTGAAGAAACCATCGGTAATACTATTAAATATGACTATTCAGTATTCAGACATCAATATTCAATACCCTAAACTTCTCCCATGACCATATTTACTGTAAAAATGTACTGCTCAAAATATTATAAAAAAATGTTAAAACCTGAATTTTTTTTACAAAAATGTGAAATGTTTACATAAATCTAAAGACTTGAAAGCTAATGCTATATTATATTTTTAATCAATTTGTAAAGTTCCCACTAACCTTGGGTGACTGATATATACATGGATACAAACTGGCACATTCTAAATAGTCTTCAGCTTGATCTAGAATTGATCGTGCTCCATAGGAAGCCTTGCCAGAACTTAACGCTGATAAAGATTTTGGATTTCTTGCAATTACTAAAATAAATAATACAAAAAATACAGGATGTGGTATTACAAAATTTCTTGGGAGAAGTTAATAGATGTGTAACACAATTGATATTAATTTTTTGTTAATGTAGTATAATTACCTTTTGTCCATATTTTACCTTCCTCACTTATAACATCTACTAACAATTTACGCTCTTCATTAATATGGAATACTTTAAGAACAGATATTACACCAGGTCTAATAGCACAGTTGACCATTGCTCCTAAATGCCGCAAATTTGAACAGGATAATTGTTCTATTTTTACTTTCTTTGAATTTCTTAGCTAAGGTCAAAATTGTAAAATTAAAATTACTCATATTAATTAAAAAAAATAGGATATACATCAAATATACTAAAATATATTTTTTTATGTTCTATTGTAATTAAAGTTGTTACTTCTTTAAAGTAGGTTGATAATATAAAATATAATTTTAACTAACTCTTTTTAAAAAATCTATCTCTTGATAAATTTTTCTTTGTAGTTTCAACACTCCTTCTACATCTTGTATTTCCTGTAGTTTTTCAACAAGGGTTTCTCCATATGTAATTTTGTTATCCAACATAGCAAGAAGCTCCTCCATGTTATGGCTCATATTCTTGAAGCAAATATATTTTTGTACATTGATTATTATATCTTATTAAAATTAGAGTAAATACAATGAAACTACGAAATAAAAATAACATTAAAATAAATATTGATTATCGTAATAAAATAAATTGTAATAAACTTGCCTTATTAAAATGTATACTTCACTTCAATTAATTATAATAAATATTAAAAAACGATATTAAAAATATATTTATTTATGTATATATTTTGAACTTTTCAACCATGGATGACAAATAAATTATAGTTCACTACTTCTGTGATCTGTCTGCTTTGAAGTTTGAAGTTTTTCAACTTTTGAAGTATGGACTTGGAGGGTAGAAGTAAAGAGGACCGTCTTGCATGGGGGATTAATTGAAAAAGTGTCCACTTGTAAACAGAAAATTATTGTTCGAACACTCACCGAAATAGCGCTAGTGTAGGAAATGGAAATGATATGAATATAGCTAATAGAAAGAAAATTTGCTAGTTACTGTTACAATTTTAATTATTATTATTTTTAATTTCGGTTATTATTTAATACTATTTTCAATTTGATATTTACAAATAATTGTGGTACTTGTATATTTTTCTTTCCTTTTTTAATTTCGTATTTTACTCTAATAATTTGTGGTGCTCCTTTTAAAATTCTTCCACTTGCTACTATAGCGCCACCTAAATTTGTGTCCTTTCAACGGACACTTCTTAATACACTGAAATGGTCCTCTTACTTCTACCCTCCATATTTTGAAGTTGTCATTTGTCAGTTGACAATTGACATAAACTAGATGTTGTTAATGCTTACAGATAATATGGAGGGTAGAAGTAAGGAGGACCATCCCAGTGTATTAAAAAGTGTCCGTCAGTCAGTTTAAAAAATATTAATGCCAATTTTTATATGAAGACTGACAAACTAAAATTCACCTTTAATAGTAACACAAAAGCAGGCTTGATATCCAGTTATAAGGTACTGGGTTTGTCCAATCAAACAAAATAAGCCCAAACTTAAAATATCTCTATTAGGAGTTAAAGAGGATCTACCCAACTTCTGGCCTTATTATCAGATCAGGTCGACGACACCAAATTACTGCATTATCAACGTCAACAGAAACATTTGCAAAGTCAATATGACCATTAGAAGTAGGTTAAATTTTCATTACCTATTTTACCACTTTTAGGGGTCTTATTTTTTTTCAAATTTAAATGGGATCAATCTGGAAGTATACACGTTCAAACAAAATAAAATTTGTCCAAATCGTACCCGATTTGGTAGATAAGTAACTGAGCTCTGAGGTAACAAACAAAAATAATAATAAAAAAATAGTCGAATTGAGAACCTCCTTCTTTTTGAAGTCGGTTGAAAAACCATAGACCAGGGACAATAAGATGAAAAGCTAAGGGAAGAAGTAAGACAATAAAAAACTAAAAAGTGACAATCACATTTGATTTTGTCAATTTTTTTTAAATCATTATTTTTCCTATATTATAATTATATATATATATATAATAATAATTGTTAACCGAGTAAAACTTTTTACTTTTATTGTACATCACTCCTCATTTTATATAAATAGTACTAGTTCATGAATATTTTTTATTCCGCACAAAATTTCCCCGCCATTTTTAGGCATACGTCACGGTCACGTGATTGACACCAAACTGGCCAACCAAAAGCCAATATCTGGCTAACCAAACTATAGCTTTGAGAAATGGCTGACGATAAAGAAGTAGAAAAAACGATTGCAGAAGACTTGGTTGTAACCAAGTATAAACTAGCCGGGCAAATTGTCAACCGTAAGTTTTATAAAAATACTGTTGTTGCTTTATATGAAATATTTTGAAGTGTAGGTAGGGCAAATACTTGCACGTTTATGTCGATTGGACGCGTGTCATCGCCATGTGGACAATGTGGTGCCGCTTACCGTGGCTTTTAAATGAAAACTTTGCTGTCCTTTACTGAACAAACACCCTAGCAATCTTTCATTATTCATTTCAGGTGTTTTAGAACAAGTCATCGCTAAATGCGTCCCAGACGCGTCTGCCCGAGAAATATGTGAATTTGGTGACAATTTGCTACTAGAGGAAACATCCAAAGTCTTCAAAAAAGAAAAAGACTCTAAGAAAGGAATCGCATTTTCAACATGCGTCTCTGTGAATAACTGTATATGTCATTTTTCTCCAATACCTAGTGAAGCTGACTACATCCTGAAGCAAGGGGATCTCGCTAAAATGTAAGTAACAAAATATAATTCAATTTTATGACTACTTACAAAATTTCATCTAGAAAGAAATTTTATAAATATAAAATGTCTATAATTATGATTATGTTATATTTCACTTTGAATGTTTTTTTTTAGTGACTTAGGTGCCCATATTGACGGGTGCATAGCTGTTGTAGCTCACACAGTAGCAGTTGGCGGTGGTGAGATATCTGGTAGAGCTGCAGATGTTCTTCTTGCTGCACATTATGCTAGTGAAGCCGCCTTGAGATTGCTAAGACCTGGCAATGAGGTAAACATAGATGTTACTAATTTTATTACATTAATTTGTACTTATTATTTTACTATAGTGTGTTCAATAAGTGCTTACGCAGAAAATATATTCAAAATTAATATTAATAAAGTATTATTGTTTTTTTTTCTAACAAAAGAACTATGCAGTAACAGACATTGTCCAAAAGATCAGTGCTGAATATGGATGTAAGCCCATAGAAGGCATGTTATCTCATCAGCTTAAGCAGTTCCGTATTGATGGGGAAAAGAGTATTATTCAAAATCCATCAGAAGCCCAGAGAAAAGAGCATGAAAAGGCCACTTTTGAAACATATGAAGTCTATGCCATGGATGTGCTTATTTCTACTGGAGAAGGTGTAGTAAGTATTTTTTTGATGTTTAAATTTATAGATATCTGAGTTTTTAATAGTTTGATGAACTCAATTATGTCAAAGCTTAGACAAATAATTATACTATTTGTACAAATGTTTGTATATCATGTGCTATTAAGTGTACTTTTTATTTATATCTTCAATATGTTTGTTTTGTTTTTTATTGTTAACTTTTTATCCTTATACAAGTGGTCAACATAATATTTTATTGCTTGCTTTATCTTATTTCCTAATAATATAAAGACAACATGACATGGGTCCATATTGATTATTTTGCTTCTTTTAGGGAAGAGAAATGGATACAAGGTGTACGATTTATAAAAAAACTGATGAAGTTTACCAACTTAAGCTGAAGGCATCTAGAATGTTCTACAGTGAGGTATTTGTCTTTGATTTTAATAATTTATTTCCTATACATTTTAATGTTGTACTTATTTATATCCCTGAAATATTTTTTTATTCAATATCAACTATGATATTGTTGCATGTTTAAGGGATAAAGTAGTGTAAAAAGTTTGAGCCAATGTTTGTAATATGCAATCATTGGTATAGATTTTTACTACAAGATTTGAAAACTTTTGTTTGATCTCAAACTTTCTTAAATAAGCTGTATAAAAATAAGCTGTTTTTTATTATCTCAGGTTCGTAATAAGCATGGATCAATGCCCTTCAATCTCCGTAGCTTTGATAAAGAAACTAGTGCAAGGCTTGGTGTTGTTGAATGTGTGAATCACAAACTTATTGAGCCCTTCCAGGTAAGATCAAATATTTATATTATGTTTTATTGAAAACGATAGGTGCCAGATAGTAGCCTTTGTTACTCCAGGTCACAGTCTTCTAGCTATTTTAGCATAAAGGACTAACAAACGTAAATGCACACACAAACTTTCATAATTATAATAGTAGTCTGATTAATTATCTATACTACTATTATAAAGAGGTAAAGTTTGTGAGGTTGCAAAGGGTAATCTTTGGATCTACTGAACTGATTTAGATGAAATTTCGTAAGAAAATAATATGAGACCCTGGAAAGGCCATATGATACTTTTTATCCCAGAAATTATGCCTTAAAGGGGTGAGTATTGAGAAGCAAGCTAAGGACGAACTAGAGCGAAGAGAGTGAGTCGCTAGTAATTAATATATATGTTTATTAACTATTGGAAATACTGGTGACAGTCTATAGTCTTAAATCTTAATAAAACAGCATTTTATGTGAATCATCTTGACCTCATTTAAAAATGACTTGTCTAAATCGTAAATATATAAAAATTAAAATTTCTATGTAATGGTAGTTTTACAGAAGACCTGGCAATTGTCATTTCAAAAATAGCTTAAGTCTTTATTATACCAACCTGTCTCCTTCATGCCTTCTCCATTCTGTTACATTGGTGAAGTAATTTGTCTTTGTTAATGTTTGTAAATACCCTGAATTCTTTCCAGGCTAGTTTTATAATTATTCTGGCAGTAATCAGGGAAAAACAACGTGGTATGAACTCTGAATTGAAATGTTTTATATACAATTCAATTTATTGATTACTAACAAAAAATTTAAAAATTACTTGTTTAAAGTATAGATAGAACTGGCTAAAATGTGCTATTTATTCTGAATAATAATTATAAGGAAATTCACAATTGTTTGCAGGTGCTTTATGAAAGGCCAGGTGAAATAGTGGCGCAGTTCAAATTCACAGCATTGTTATTGCCAAGTGGCACACATCGTATCACAGGGCTGCCGTTTGACAAGAGTCAGTGTAAAACTGATCGCATTATTAAGGACCCCGAACTTAATGTGAGTAAAATTGACATATAATTAAAATTATGTACTATGGCGTAGACCCCCTCTACATTCATCCATTATAATTTTAAATGAACAATAGTGTCACCAACTCACCATGTGTTTGCTATTCAAGGATCCACTTCTTTCATGTTAATTTTTTAGTGAAATTCCTTGTGCTAAATGAATAGATTTTTCTTAATACTCAATTATTTTGACTGCTTATACATTTTTTTCCCATGTTATTAGTTGTTAATTTTGTTTTTAGCATTTATTGTTCTAGTAACATGATTTTAAGTATCTTTTTCTCTTTATAACAATCCTATAATACTTTTTTAATCATAATAACCTTTTAACTGAACAATTATCGATCAGATTATAGATTTATGCATATGTGCGTATTTTTTGTAAAAATACTCCTATTTTATAAATAAGGTTGTTGTTTCCCTCCCTGTTATCCCTGTTATCTTTCAAAACATACTTCACAATAGTTTGTTTTGAACAAGCACAGGGTAAAGTATCAGTAATCTTTTTGAGCCGATTTGTTTCTATTTATTCTTCGGTTTGAACCATTACAACATACCTATTTTAATTTCTGATTATTAATTCAGAAAATGATTTAATCAAGATGAGATAGATTGATAAGCATAATATGAAATATTAAAACCTGTTTTTTTTTCTATGAAGGCTCTCCTGAACTCATCTGCGAAGTCAAATAAAAAGAAGAAAAAGAAAACTGGTGCAGAAGAACCGATGGAAGTGGAAACTGCAGCCTAGCAAATGTTATTACAAATACCTGAGGGCACTTAAAAACTCAGCTTTCTGACACCTTTCATGTTGTAAACATAGAGTGTAAAGTTGTGAACATATTTTTTTTATTAAATGAGAAAGCATTTTCATTATATATTTAAATTAAATCTCAATTTATATTTCATATACTTTTGATTAGATTTATAAATATAAATATAATCTCCATAAATTATATCAACAGTTGTAAACATTATGATCAAACATAATTTGAATAATTTAATTAATACTTAAAGTTGAGTTGGCAATACCACTGTAAGGTTACAACATGGACTCTTGACTACCATATACATTAATAACATAAGCAATAATAAAGCTTATCCTTTTCTATAGCTTTCAATGAGTGTTTATACTCAAGTGTTCATTGAGCTAACAAAATCAATATAAGATTGGCATTAGCTGCAAAATTATTGTTAATGTTTAGATGTTTATGTACAAAATGACTTCATTTTTAAGTGTAATATTGAATACAAAAAAAATTTACAACATAACCATTTAGTTTCTGCATTTGTAGTAAATTTTCAAGAGTTTTTCAGTACATATATTCCCTGAGTTACACATTTAATAAAAAAACTAATATTTGTACATAAAATTCCTTTTTTATTTGCTTAGAAACATGGTATTGAACTATAGACCATTCCTAATTAACCCAATATTGTTTCAAACATTGTGCACAAAAATTTCGTACTTCATAACAGTGCAATTAGAATAGGTACTATTATTTTGATGTTCAGACTTTTACATTAGATAATTAAAATTTTTAACGAAATTTTTCATTTTTAAAATAACTATGTGAACATTTCAAAATAATAGTTTGTGATTGATTATTAGATCCATAAATATTGATTTTTCTCTATACTAGGATACCTTATGTACATTTTGGTGGAACTTTGAATTTTTCATATGTAATACATTGAGTGCTTGAGTATTAATTGTATTTATGGAACTAATAAATCAATGGACATGTGGAATGTGTGACAAGAAAGGAATAAATTGAACTGTGCCACTTGTTGTGGACTGTTTTTGTAAAGGTTATTTTATTTATTTCTATACTCAAAACCTGACTGGCAAACAATGAGACCGATTGATATACACCTAACATGCAGAATTCAAACCAGCATTAATTAATGAAATTGATACGATCCAAAAAATTTGATTAATGCTATAATTAAAAAAAACTTATTTTATTTGGTAAATAAACATTTAAAATATCACTAAATTGCTAAATTGAAGGTTCCTAAATATTTCATGAATGGTATGGATGATACTTTTGTAACATAAAAGCTATAACACATACAATTATAAAGTAAGTTATTCAAATAGATGGATTGTAGGGAGTACAATTCTAAAAAAACTTGATACCTCTTAATAAATTTAATAAGTTAATTCAACAGTTTATTCAGACATTGCACTATGTATTTATCAGATTTCATTTTGCCTTCTCTTGACTGGAATCAACACTAGGTTCAGCAGTTTCTAATGAGGTTGAAATAAAATCATATGTCTTTGTGGCTGCATTTGTAGCATGTGATGGAAGATCCACCAAAAACCTAAAAGTAGCCTTAACTCCACTATTCCAGTAGTATTTACATAAATATGTCAATCTATCATTTGATGGCAGAGGAGGAAGCTGAAAACATAAAGATATATAAGGAAATCAAATTAAAGAAAGATATATAATCCAAAAGTCCAGAACTATAAGGTACCTCATAAGGAATTTGCTTTTTGAATTCCCCTACGTAAGGAGATACTCCATTTTCAAGTTCTTCATAAAGTTCGCTTGTTGTAGCACTATCTTTCCATACTCCTTTATCAACGGTATAATATACTGCTGATCCGAGTATAGCAGATTTAATCCCGAATCTGAAAATATGATAATATTAAATTAACAGATAATTATTAAATAAATCGTGTCATCAAGAAGTAACATCTATCATACTTCAGCATTTTATTTGGTTATTATTTATTTCTACAGCAAATTATGTAATATTTATTGAATAAAATGCATAATGATCGAAAGGGACTAAAAAGACTAAAGACTAAAGAGTAAAGACTTGACTTCCGTAAAGTAACATTGACATTTGACAATTGACATGTGTCATGCAGCTTGCTATTTTTTTTGGAATTGTGGATAAAGATTCAAGAACTTGTCGTTTATTTTTTTGAAAATGACAAACATATTGACTGGAGCCACAATAGTTATAAAAATAATAATTATAATAATTATTTTTATAACTATTGTGGCTCCAGTAAATATGTTGTTATAATTATAATTAATATTTTTATAACTATTTTCATAGTTCATTCATATATTTTTTGTTAAATAATTTAGCCTGCACGTAAAAAATATTTATTTTACCTTACAACTCTGGTAAAATGATAACATTGCAAATTGCGCAATTGTTAAGTTGGTAGTTGGTACTTTCTTATCTAATGATAATAGAGTTGATAGCGCCCTGCGCCGACCGCCGTTGACTTTACTTGTCACTTGCTTTATGTCTCAGCTAGAAGCTTTGACTAGCTGAGTAAATTTAGTTTATATATTTCGTTACATCGAGTGCGCGTGTTATACACGGTCGTTTTTATTAGAGTTATAATCAAATCATAAACTAGTAATTTAATATTATTAACATATCTTTGAACAATGGCTGGGAAACAATTAAAGAATCGTGTCTGTATAGTTGGTTCAGGAAATTGGTAAGGTTTCAGTCATTTATGTAACAATATAATTAATTATAGCATCTTATTTACAATGACCTTAGAATATTAAACATGACTTATGACATAATGTCTTAATTGAAGGGGAACAAAATATAAAAAATAATTACTATTTTCTCATACATTTCTAATGTGTAATTTTTATGCATATTGTTATGATATTTTGAAAAACTGGTTTATATTTACGCAGTATGTAAAAGCATTTTAATGATGTTCTCACAGGGGCTCCGCAATTGCAAAAATAGTTGGACGTAATGCCGCTCGTCTTCCAAATTTTGAGGATAGAGTTACAATGTGGGTTTATGAGGAGATGGTGGAAGGAAAAAAATTGACGGAAATAATAAATGAAACACATGAAAATGTTAAATATTTACCAGGACATAAGCTACCACCTAATGTTGTAAGTACGAAAAAGCAAACTTGAAAATTTCTATTATGTCTTTGATGTAATAAAATATATAAATAAAAGTAATTGGCACTAGTACCACATGTTTCACATGTGTAGTCTATTTTTGCTCTACTTCCTAACTGGAGCTCTTTCAATGCCATTGTTACTCACAATCTTTTTTTTCTTACAGTAATGAGTAAAAGGTATTTTTTTGAACAATGACCTTTATAATAGTAGTCTAGATTTTTTATTTTATTTTTTATCATTTAGTATAATATTTTCAAATTATTACTTAACTAATATTTATTAAAATATCGATCAACAGGTTGCTGTACCAGATCTTGTTGATGCAGCTACAGATGCAGACTTACTAATTTTTGTTGTTCCTCATCAGTTTGTACGTACTATTTGCTCTACTTTATTGGGGAAAATCAAACCAACTGCAGCTGCACTTTCTCTAATAAAGGTAAAAATATAGAGAATGTTTCTAAGAATTTTCAGTATTTAGTAAAATTTACTTTAAAATTGTGTTAGTATTTTATTGCAAACATGTTTAAATTTTTTGAATGATAACTTGTTAGTTCTTACATTAAAAAAAATAACTGTTAACATTTCATAAAATCTATCTCACAATAATTATGTTTTACGTATAATACCACTTAAAATAATATAATAAAATATTTTATTAATCTATACTTAATAATTCTTTTTTTCAGAATCTTTGAATACTATATAGGTATTACTGCATAATATATAACAATTTTAAAGTATTATATAAACGGTTAGTGATTAAATAATGTTATTTGGCAGGGCTTTGACATAGCAGAGGGCGGTGGCATTGACTTAATCTCACATATCATCACAAGATGCCTGAAAATTCCTTGTGCTGTACTGATGGGTGCCAATATTGCTTCAGAGGTGAGAACAATTTATTATTATTTAACATTAAGGTTTGCCATGAAGTAATATATAAAATCCAGGTCTATATGGAACAGTCAATATAAATAGAAATTAGTAAGTATAGATTAGAGACCTATGTAATTTGTTGGCTTTGTAATTTTAAAAATATTTATTTAAATATAACTATGTTTACTGTTTGACATTAATTATGTCTAATGAGATAGTTAGCTAATGCCTTTAGTTGTTTAATAACTTCTCTTTTAATTGTTTAGTAACTAATTTAACATAAATTGTTGTGTGTAATGAGTCATAAAGCAAATTAAAATTTTATATTTCTGATATTATAGTACAAAGATCAAAGGCATATTACAGTAAGTCATTTATGTATGTATGTATTTATTATACAACAAATGTGAATCTGACTCGCGCACCATTCCTTGTCATCAAACATTTTTGTGTTGTTTTAAATTCGCGTAATTTGTATAATTTGTTTTAAACGCCATGTTTGTCTTAGTGTTTACCTGTCTACAATTTTCATTTTAGTGAGAGCGTAAATAAGTTCATATTTCATAATACTTCCACGAGAATTTTATTATGCGGCCGATGAACGATGATTTCGATACAATGCTTACAATTTTAGAAGCATCAACGATAGGCCTAAATAATCAAGTCTATATAATATAGTATTATCTAATTTTTAAACCTATTAAAAGATACCTCACATGGGTAATTTATTCCCCTCTGTTTCATGTATGAAGTGCTACCCCTATTTTATTATTTTTCTTCATTTTACTACATCATTGTCAAGTGGTTCACATGAGATATATACGTTCCTAATTTCAGCTGTGTATAGTGCCAATAATCTCACAGTAAAATGGATGTGACATACGAACAGACGAAATTAAAACGGCCCCATTTTTATTTTGGCTTTGGACTTGTTTATGTTTATACTATAGCAAGCGGCAAATGCGAGGTCACATTCAATACTGCTTTTATATTTCGTTGAAACCAAAGAGATCTGGAACAAGAGCTTTTTGTTTCTGCAGAGGATAAATGAATGAAATGTTGAAAAACGAAAATAGGATAAGATAAATATTTCTTATAATTAATCCGAAACAATCTACCGCATCCGATATACGCAGATATTATACAGAAATATTACCTACTCATTTTGATTGTGTAATACTCGTATATTTTATTGTTTAAATAATATTTAAGAAGTACTTATCTGTAAAGTCTGTGATAGACCTCGGTAAACATTTGTATATTAAGCATTCATTTTTGATACAACAAAGAAAAGTCTTGAAAGACGACTCACAATTACGAATTTTTACTTCACCGATGAGTTTGTTAGTAGTAAAGCAACAGAAAATTCACATATTGAGATTCAAGGCAATCCGATACATATTGAGCAAAAAATCCACGATATCACTTTTTTGCCTTTAAAACAAGCTTTGCCGTTTTTACATTTAAACATATAACATAGGTAAACTTGCCTTTGATACGAGAAGAAGTCGATTAGGATTTCTGATAATTAGATGTTTTTTTCTTTACATTTTCATCTACTTTATTCACCGCAATTTTCAATATTACGCTATGTTTAGTAGGCGCCCGACATGCTGGCTAGGGAGGCAAATATATAAAAATTAAATATATGGCACATATTTCCACTAACACGAACGGCTTTCCGTAAATTCTTTTTTGCCGTTTGTAGGCCGTTATTGTGATTTCTGAAAGTTACATTTTTATTCTATCTAGACCAGGACAAAGGCTGTCTATACAAACTTTTGTCCCATCTGATAATAGGATCTCTGACCTGTACTTACCAGGCAATTTATTTATTATTTACACATTTATCTAATTCACTCACAATATTCGTAAAAGAAGGCTTATAAATATTGTATTCAAGCCCTTTTTTAACTTCCCACTGCTGGGCCGGTATGCGAACCTCCCTTCAATACGAGCGGGATCAGGCTGCACAGTCAATCACGCTGGCCAAGTGCGCGTTGGCGGAATTTCAACTCGAAAGTATTTCGTTGTTAGGTGTTCTCACACATGCGGGTTTTCTCACGATGTTTTCCTTTATCGTAAAACAATTGATAGAAATTCGCACATGAAAATATAAGATGTGTGAGAATCGGGATTTTAACTTGCTTCACTTGGTTTCCCAAGTACTACCTTATAAAATATGAACTAAGTTAAAAATAAATTCCTTTAACACAGGTAGCAGAAGAGAAATTCTGCGAAACAACAATAGGATGTCGCGACGTGATGTTAGCGCCTATGATGAGAGACATCATCCAAACAGAGTACTTCCGAGTTGTTGTTGTAGATGATGAGGATGCTGTAGAAATCTGCGGGGCTTTAAAGGTAAGATGTTTTTTTCATTATAGAATTTTCTTTATAAGTATGTGTATATTTTTCTGCCTTGATCCTATACATTATTATAATAAATTGTGACGGGTTCAAGCCACAAGTATATATTATATAGAATACATCAATACGTCTTGAACTCAAAGAGGGTTGATGCCAAGTAGGCGGTTGGTTGTAAAACTTTGCCAAAACCGATCAGCAGAACGGAAGATGTACTGCGCCGACCTAAGTAATTGGGAAATGGGCAGGGAGATGATGATGATAAATGTTAAACTCCTTATTATACATATATTTATACCTACTATATGGTAAACAAAACAGATGGTAAACCGACGAGGAATTTTAAACCTGATTTGTCTTTTATTACATATCAAAGATCATCCAATACATTTATCTATCTCTTTTAATATATAAAATTTTCCTGTCACAGTTTTTGCAACAAAACTCCACCAAAACGGCTTGACCGATTCTTATGAAATTTAGTGTGTATATTCAGTAGGTCTGGTCACCCTTAGTGATGAGGGTGGTCCACCCTAAACATTTTTGTTTATTTTTTGGACAATTATTTTTATTTAATTTTTTTTATGATTCGGCATTAAAACTACATACAAACCTAATTTTTACCAATTTTCAGCTTTTTTATAAATATTTAATGTTTAACTATATTAAATATATTAGGTACCGGAAAAGTAATAATAATATTACAGGGAAATACATATGGATGTTACCTATTATTATCTGTATAATATGTAGGTATGCTTTAAAGTTTAAACGTTAAGATTTTATATTTAATTCCCCACGCCTGGTCGATAAGATAAGAACCTATATAAACTAGTGCTCTATTTATGTTCCTTTTTCTGATTATTATTTAATATTTTTGACTAGTTTTATGTACAAATGATGTAAATGTGTAGGTATTCATATGTATATAGATATACATGTATGAATAAAACTATTTTTAATACTTTCTTGGATTTACGCGAATATTTGACATTTTAAATAAAACTATCCTTTCGGATTATTTCGCGGATTTATTTTGATTATTGATTCCTGACGTTTCGAATGCTTTACAGCAATCATGGTCACGGGAGAGACTGAGGTTATAGACGTCTCTTTTTACTTTATTAAAAAGTGTGATAGAATAAGGAGAAACAGAAAGTTACACAAGAAAAAACAATAACTCTATCAATTGAAAAGAAAGTCTTTGGAATTATATAATTAGCATAGATTATACTTAAACCTAGTGACTTATTATCACTCGGGTGCATCACTAGGTGCGGATTATGTTCGCAATTTCACGTCTTTTAATTTTATTGCGCGGAACCCTAATCCCTTTTCTTAAATAAATATAAATGTGGCCTAAGTTACTCCTTATAACATCAGCTATTTGCCAGTGAAAGTCCTATCAAAATCGATCCAGCCGTTTGAGATTAGTCGGGACAAATAGATAAACACACACACAGAGTTAATCAGTCAGGCAGACAGACAAAAAAAATTAAAACTGTTTTTTATTATAAGTACCGTATACATTTTCATATGCATTTAGTAAAAAGCTGTTATTTTAACATTAAAAAATAGACACTTCAATTTTATTTATCTGTATAGGTACATACTTAAAATAATAAAAAAAGAAAACAACATTTTCATATCTTACTTTTAATTATGTATTATTCCAAACCAGTTTTACGAGTTAATATACGATAATGTGGATACTAAAATGTAATAATATACCTTCTGTTAAGATTAGCACAGTCTAAAAAAGTGATAAACCTATTCAGATACAGTTTTTTAATCACTATCACTACATAGTATAAAACAAAGTCGCTTTCTCTGTCCCTATATAGGTTTTTTTAATAGATAGAGTGATTCAAGAGGAAGGTTTTAGTATATAATTTGTTAAGTTTTTGTATACATTGGCTAAACTATAACGATATTTGTCGGAGGTGTCGGAAAAAATAAGACGTCTGGGAGCTTTCAAAGAAAACGCTGTCTAAACCCTTTGAGATATAACAAAATAATGTATGGTGGAATTCTTATATAGGTCTACAGAAAAGTCCGCGAGGGCATATGTCTATCTCTTAAGGATAACATACTATATCCATTTTAATTTAAAACGTACCTAGGGACGAACCCGAGCGAAGCGAGGGTGAGTCGCTAGTATATAATAAGCGTTAAATAAAAACCGTTGGTTATAGCCGGATTTAAACCATTGTCAATAAATCTTCAAACTTTTAAAAGTTCTTATATCAACGGACTGTAATACTCGTAGTTGTAGACATTATTTTGAATACACCAATATGCAAAAAAAAAGTTAATATTGTCATATATATAAACAGAAATCATGCGATTTTCATTTTTGTCGTTATCAGCACAAAGATTGCGGTTAATTCACTTGGCAGTTGGCACCTACCCGTTCCAATATAATAGCTATTTTGCAAAGTAATTGTTGCACGTAATTATAGACGACATTTTGTTTTACGATTTGTTCTCATGGTAATACTAAGTCCAGTATATTTTATTTAAATTTCGTTTTAGCTGTGATAAAAGAAATAGTCGGATATCTAAAATATGTATTAAGTCAATGATAGTTACGAATGTTTTTTGATGCTTAGTTTAAGTTGTAGTTTGTGTTCAAAAGTTCAAACCATTGACTATGATCTCTTCTAGAAATTAAATTTACTTCTACGTAGGTACATATGTACATATTGGGCTACTCGACAATTATGTACTTGACAAACTTACAAAATCATACAAATTAGTTTGTTTGATTAGTTCGGAACTTATCTGTTCAGTTTGTGTGATTTTGGATATCAATTATATTTATCTATATAATATAATCAATATATGAAGCTATAAGATAAATTCATAAAAAAATCTAGCTCTTCAATCACATATTAAAAAAATAAGGATGTTATAATATACATGTAACATATAATTTAAAAGAACATAGTACAAGGAAAATATATAAGAAAAATGCTATGCCATTATCGAGTGAGCCACAACAAGACATAGTGTATTGTAATTTTTATTACGGAAAAAGATGATAGATTTTATCTCATATAAATCTTTATGACACGATTCATATAAATCATGAAAAATCTATTGTCAAAATTTTTGCTGATAATAACATTGTTGAGATTGACATACATGCTTTGTAAGTATTTGTGTATAAATATAATTATTGAAAATTAGTTTTGCAAACTTAAATCATCTACTATCTTCTATATGTTATTAGTTATTACTATCTAAGTCAACAGACTTTTTTCTTCCAATTTCAATATTATTATTTTTTATTTAGGATCTTAGAGTTCATATAAAAATTATATACAAGCACTTTCAGTTTCTGCCAAATTTCTCAATTTTCCAGACAATTGTTTCAAATTTTTTCCATTATTTTCCAAATGTTAATCGAACTATTGCCAATATTTAAAAAAAATGCTAAATTGGTTCAACTGTGCTCAGATTTCAATGAACATTGTTTCTTTTACATACATGATCTTACTTACTTGTGTATAAAAAATATTAGTAATTATAATATTTTTAATTTGTACAATATATATAATTACATATATTTATTACAATGTTGTGTACAGATTTAATTGGACAGCAAAAAAATATATTTTCGCTATAAATACGTTAGTTGTATTTTTTTTTATTTCTTTTCTGTTTCTATACCTAAATAAATAAAATTAATATTCTCATTTATTGTTTAGAACATAGTTGCGGTGGGAGCAGGTTTTGTCGACGGATTGGGTTTCGGTGACAATACGAAGGCGGCCGTCATTCGATTGGGATTAATGGAAATGATTAAATTCGTTGATGTTTTCTATCCTGGAAGCAAACTTAGCACTTTCTTCGAATCTTGCGGAGTGGCCGATCTTATTACTACGTGCTATGGTAAGTGTTTATATGGAGCCTTACATTTTCACATCTAGACCAATGCATGCAATTGGCACTATATCTATATACAAATTACAATATAACAGTTAAAAATATAATAGACATATAGAGACAAATTTGATCATTTTTGATATCTTATTTATTTGTTTATATGTATTTTTGAACAACAAAGCGGATGTATGTTTTAAAAAAACTTATTTTTTTTGTCATATATATTATATGACTATATATTAATATAGTAGCGTTATAGCGTTATAGATATTAATATAATGGCGTTAATCAATGTTTTTAAACATTTACCTGCTTCTAACAATATTTAATTAAATCTTGCTTACCATAAAATAACAGAGACCAATATGATACTAGGATATTAATTTTATCTGCTTACTTACAAGCGTTATTACGAACGTTATCTAGCCTGTGATGATAGCGATTGATTAATTATGCTGGACTGCTAGCGAAAAGAGTGTAAATCTGATGGCAATGTTTGGTATTAAAATACTCGTAAGCATTTTGAACGACATTCAATACATTGAAACGTTATGATAAAATGAGAAATCTTTAAATTGATATAATTGTATTAAGTAAATTATTATTTTCTTCCGCGTAGAGTAATATTTTTTTTATTTTTTTTTTAATAAAATTGATTGATAAAGATATAGTTATTTTGATCGTTTGTATTTTTACTATTGTCGCTACAGGATTATAAAAAATAAATGATATATAATACAACACAGATATAATATGTTTATTATTTGTTTAACCGGCAACGGCAAATAAACTAAACCCTAGATCTCAGTAAGGAATAATATAGACATCACAGAGTGTCATAAAACTAAACATGAAGCTAAACAACAATGTTGTAAAATAGTAAATGACAATTTGTAATACTGAGTGATAACAAAATAAATGTTAATAAGTGAAAATAGGTAACGGATTTTATTATAATAAAGAAAAACCAAGTGCGAGTCGAGTTCGCACACGAAGGGATCATCGTACATGTACTTTTTATTAATATGATTTTTACTCTATGTAGAATATTAACTTCGATGATCGTTTACGAAAGTTAAAAAAATGTCTCTTCTAGTTTTATTTATTTTTATTATTTGTTGTTATAGCGGCTGTAGAAATACATACTCTGTGAAAATTTCATATTTTTATTATTTGTTGTTATAGCGGCTATAGAAATACATACTCTGTGAAAATTTCAACCCTCTACCTATTACGGTTCATGAGATATAGCCCTCTGACAGACGGACGGACGGACAGTGGAGGCTTAGTAATAGGGTTCCGTTGGCGAAACCGTTGGCCAAACGTTGGGTACAAAACCCAAAAAAATAACTAAGCTAATTAAAGAGAACTAATGTTTAAAAAATACAAAAGGTATATAGTAAATAAATTTTCTTTACTCTTTATAGAAAATAAACGATCTGTCTGGCAAAATCGAGAATAGTAGCATAAACAGCAAATCACGCCAATATTTTTGACTTTGATATTTATTTTAGCGAACTCCGTCTATATCGGACTATACGGAACGTATCTGAATCAGCTTAGTGGGTAGATTTAAACGGCTCATTTATCTAATATATCAAGTCGTTATATAATGAAAATAACTTGTTGTCATTTCTAATTGGAAAATTACGCAAATGTCTGCAGAATTACTTTTACATATATAACTTATTGCTCTTTGAGATTCTTTACTTCGTTTAAATAAATATTTGAGTAATACCATTTTGAGGGTCGCCCCGTGTAGCGATTAAAGTAACTAATCTGTGTAACAGACTACGGGTTCGATACCTAGTCATTTAAGGTCTGTCATAAAGTAAAATAACACAGTGTAAATTTATTTATAACCATTACGTGTAACGTTATATTTATTATACTTATCTTTATATAAAAATGGATCATTTATAATTATATAATTTTTATTATTTATCTTGTCGGATAGGTGGCAGAAACCGTAGGGTAGCAGAAGCTTTCGTGAAAACTGGACGGTCAATTAAAGAGCTAGAAGATGAAATGCTCAATGGGCAGAAACTTCAAGGACCTATTACAGCTGAAGAAGTAAACCATATGCTTGCCAACAAAAATATGGAGAACAAGTCAGTATTTATTTGTATTTTAGTTTTCTTTTTCCGAGAAAGAGAGAGAGAGAGAGAGAGACAGACAGAAAGAGCGATAGAGATCGAGAGAGAGAAAATATAGTGGTATCTCACTGTGATTAACATCAATTTTACATATCATTCGAAGATTTTTATAACAATGTAAATAATAAAAAAAATATCTCTTAAGATAACAATTGATATTTAGTGTCATTTTTGAATATTATTATCTATCAACTCACCTTTGCTTCACTTCGGGTTAGTCCCTATTGGAAAACAAACTACGGGAACCGTAAATTTTCGGGATAAAAAGTAGCCTTAATGCTATTCCAGACTATATAATCTATCTCTGTGCCAAATGTCATCCAGATCCGTTCAGCGCTGTTCTCGCGTTAAATAGTAAAAAGAATTCATCCATCCATTCTCACAAACTTTCATATTTATAATATTAGTATAAATTAGGTAAATTTTAGGCGAACAACCCGATAAAGATATAGGTAGATATATCACTTATTTAAAGTACTTAAAGTAAAATAATATTGTAAAACTATTGATAGGTATATCATAAAATTAAAGGTCAAACATTTAGTAATTGCGATAATTATTGCGTTAACATCCCGTGACTAATATGAATTCAGCTGTTATAAAAAAAATAGCGTTACTAAACTGCTTTTCATAGAAATTCACTATTCAAAATATGTATCTTTTAAGTTTCAGGAACATCCTTCTTGTTAGATTAGAATATAAAAATTATTATTTAGATTTTTTTTCCAAATACGGAAGATTGACAAATTTAATTTCAGTGCATTACGTGTACCTAAAACTGACAAAAGTAAGCAAATGGTTTTTTCCATCTGCCACCTAAGCTACCTTTAAAAAAATCCTATATTTATGCAGTTAGAAGGGATATGGAGTATTTGTGAATTATTTGAAACATTAAATACTATTATAATTATGTTACAAAATAAAATCTTGATGTAACAAAACTATTGTAATTTCAGACTCATTACATGACTTTAATGTTTTGCAGTGATTGGCTTTATAAAGAGAAACTAGCGACTCACCCTCGCTTCGTTTGGGTTCGTCCCTAGATTGCTTCCCATACAAACTTTCATCCCCATTTTCATCCCCTTAAGGAATGATTTCCGGGATAAAAACTATCCTATATCCTTCCCAGGGTCTCAAACTGTCTTCTTACCAAATTTCATCTAAATCGGTTCAGTAGATCCAGAGATTACCCCCTACAACGTCACAAACTCACAAACTTTACCTCTTCATAATATTAGTATAGATGAGTGCGGCTACCTATTATTGTAATTGCAAATTGAACCGAAATAGTCTGTCTTGGCTTGCATCACCGGCTTTAAAGGTCAATGTAGACATTTAATTGGAGTCATTGTCATTGCCTCGTAATCAAGTACATAGTACCTTTAATACATACTTTTGTGCCTTCATAAATCGAATATACTTTAATTTATCCGTTAGTACAAGAGGCACTTATTAAAACATTTTTTTTCTGGGGGTGTAACTTGATTCCTCATATAATTTTAAACTTTTCGATCGTCACTTTTAAGATGTAAAAAGTGATGATTCAAAGTACTTGTAAAGTCTATTTGAATAAAGTATATTTTGATTTGATTTGAATGTATGCGTATGTCTTAATAAAGTTTTGAAATTATATCGGAAGTTTAAGATAATATAAAGGCTAACCATCTACTATAAAATACATATATTTAATAGTAGATGGTTAGCCCTTACCAGATGTTCGCATTAAAAAAAAATTAAAAAAAGAACTCGGTTTTTTTAAGTTTTTATTTTTACATTTATAGCGCAGTATTTTTAAAAATTCAATAGGCAAAAATCATCATTTTGTACACTTAGGGGTGGAGTTTTTTTTCCGTATTTAAATGAGACCAACTTTGAGGTAAACCCTATACAATAAAAAAATTATTATTGAAATTGGACGACACTGTAATATGTACAACTACACTATAATAATGCGTGGCCAAACATAAAAAAAACGTGTCGAACTGAGAACCTCCTTTTTTTCGTCGATTAAAAATAGGGAGAATCCGGTAAATCGCGGATGTAGCAACTCTTTTTTTTTAAAGTGAATCCCAGTTCCAACGTGATTAATCTTCGTAAGATCTAAGAGAAGTCATCTAATTTTTTTTAAATCCGCCAATCAATGCCAACCAATGGTGGACTGTGGCACATTTCTCCTTGAACAGAGAACAGGATTAAATCATTATCGTACTATTACATATTATCACATCATTATAGATTGTGCCTATGCGCGTAATGTTTTGGCGTAGTTGTCATTGAAAATAAATATTTTTCAATGTGAACTCTTTGACAGCATAGTGATAATCTATGCTATATTTAGAATAGGCACTCTCTAGTTCGTCGAAATCTTTGTCACCAATATTACATATTTGTCAAGTTTTACACTTCGAAGATTGTATGAACTTTTATTAGGTACTGAAATACTTGTCATTTTTTTAATTGGAGAAAAAATATTTTTAAAGTTAATTAATTAATTTATATAATTTTGCAAAATTTTACTTATTAATAATATCTATTTACAGATTTCCCTTATTCACCGCTGTCTTCCGTATCTGCCGAGGTGAACTGAAGCCGAGTGATTTCATTGACTGCATCCGCAACCACCCCGAACACATGTAAGATATATTAAATTGCTTTTCCAACCGTCTTTATAAACATCCTTTAAAAAAATATGTAAACTTTAAAAAAAAGTATTCACATAAAAAATCTTCTAAGAAGAAAAAAATCTCATGTAGGTGCTTTTTATATAATTCGTTAATATTAAAAAATGATACCTAAGTAAGTATTTATAATTACATCGTAATAGTTAATAACAATGAATTACGTAGGAAATTGTAGTCTCCATAGGTTAAAAACGTTATCAGTCTTTGAAAGAAGATGATATTCCCTAAGCATTTAAAACAACTTTAAAGGATGTTTATTAGAATGGGGCTAAGCTTCAAGCATACAGTAGCGTTGGTATATAACATAGAGTAGACTATATGTAAATAACAATATGTATATATTACAGGGTGCTAGTACTTAGATGGTTGTTTTGATGTAGGGCTGCTATCATTTATACTAGAATTCCTTAGGAAAAAAAATTTATAATTAAGTATCGATAAAACGTTGTTAACTTTATTAGGCCAAAATAAAATAAGTATAGTCAAATCAAATATATGTAGTAGATAAGTGTTTGAAATTTTATAATACATATATTGGTTTTAAACTGGATTATCGATGTGCAATTTTATATTAAAAATATATGCAAAAATATTTTTAAATAATAATTATTATTATTATAAACTAATGTGGCAGCCCTATGTGTAGGTATGTATCGAGTAATATGAGGACGTTATTTATATCACTTGCATTAGATGAGATTAGGTGTTGGTTATTGATTTGCGGCAGGAAGGATATAGTACTTAGCATACTGTACATATAATATTTTATATTCTATGTTACAATAATTTAGATTTTACGTACGTATGTGTTAACAAATCAACTAATAGTTTTAGAAGCATGTATTGTTAAAACTGATATATTATATTGCGTTATGCGTATGTTAATACTAATATGATTGTTATTATCGTTCGATACTATCCCATCAAATATTCTATTAATATTTTCTATATAATACCCCTTATCTTATTTATGGTGTTAGAGCAAATGAATTTTATGGAGTGGTCGATGTTGAGATAAGGTGATTGAATGTTATGAAGGTTGACGTTTATTATATCCGGTTGTCATAGAAAGTGACATGGAATATAAAAAAATGAATGAAAATTTTCTACTTTTTGATAAAAAATTAATTCTAAAAAATAACCAAAAATTAAATATCTACTTTAGTAATAAAAATGCCTTTGTTTTGTTTTACAATATTAAAAAAAATATTTGTCATACCTTTGATAACCGGATAGTTAGAGATATCTTTAGTACAAATACTATGCACCGCAATTCCTTTTAAAATACTTTGCACGTTTCTCTTTAGCATAATAATGTAAAGAAAAAAAAATGTTAACTAGTCTAGAAGTATAATGTAATGTTGGATTAAACGCGTTGGAATATATAAATTTTTATTATCTTCTTTTCCTCATACTAACAATCCCTCCTACCTTCAGACTATTTTTGATATTTTGCCATTTTTTTCTTCTAGTTTTGTTTTGTCTATGTTAAATCGCTAAATCATAACTTCCACTCAAAAGTAAATGTAATTTTGTACCTACCCAATTTTTTTTTTTAAAACCAACCCGTATGTTTTATATACATTGTATTTTTTGTATATATTCTTATGTTATCATTAAATAATAACCATTTTGACGAGCTTTACTTATCAATTAATTGCATTTTACAGATTTGCCCCCAAGAATATAAGTATTTACTAACCGTTTTCATAACAGTTCATTGCTATCATGGAACACTCTGGCTTTTTTTTAATAGAAATGAATTTGTTTTTATAACTTATATTTTAACCTGTTTATACTTTTATATGTTTGCATGTTTATTGTACACCATTTTACCAAGATTAAAAGTTACTTTATACCTTTATTCCTGTTTTAATTTTTGTGCTATATTTAAAATGTACAGACATCAAGATGTTCTATTTTCCAGAGATTTTCAATAGGTTAATAGAATAATTTTAAATAATAAAACAACTAATAGTAATACACAATCAATGAATTTAATTGCATGTATTTGTATAATAATATGATAATATTGTGTTTGCAACTTTGAATCGATAAAAAATATTATTTTTGTGTTCTTGTAATTAATCATAGTAATGGTTTTTAACTAATATTCTAGGGATACAAGTTTACAAATGGCGCCTAAATGCTCTCTGTGACCACAATGAAGCCGCCATGTTGCCATCATGCATCCTGTCTGCACTTGTATTTCTCATAAAGACGTTTTTCAATGTGCACATTTTTGTTGATAATTTTTTTTTTCAAAAATTGATTTTCCTACTAACTTCTTCGGCTCACTATTACGTTTATTTTTAAATGTCTTTTTGTGTAACTTAAAAAAAAAGAATAAAATTTCATGAGATAGGTGACTAAATGTTACATAAGAATCGATAGCACCGTCCATCTGACTAAAGAATTATATAGACGGAGCCCGCTAAAAAAATAGTCCAAGGTCAAAAATAGTAGCGTGATTTTGGTATATATGCTACTATTCTCGATATCTCTTTTTAAACCGATCCACTCTCAATCTCTACCGTGTCTCTCCATTCTACAAGACATTGGCGAAGTAAATTGTGCCCAAATAGCACGCCTATAAGCCACAACAAAGAACATTGAACATTGAGTACTATTCTCGATTTTGCCATACAGATCGTTTTTTTTCATTTTTTAACATTCAGTTATCTACCCTTGAAAGGGAGATAGCATGATATAAGCTTTTCTTTCTTTATCATAATAAAATCCGTCAGCTATTTTTATTTATTAACATTTATTTAGTTATCACAATAATATTTTTCTATAAATATTTGTATTACTATACTAGTACTACTAAACTAAGGCAGTGGTAGCCCAGTGGTAACGCGCTCGCTTGGGAAACCGAGGGAAGCGGGTTCAAATCCCGGGTCTCGCACCTCTGATATTTGTGTGATTATCACTTGCCTTACGGTGAAGGAAAACATTGACAGGAAACCTGTATGTATGCTCACCTAGCAAGTTTTCGAAAGACATGTGAAGTTCGCCTACCTGCACTTGGCCAGCGTGGTGGACTATGGCCTGATCCCCTTCGTATTGAAGGGAGGCCCGTGCCCAGCAGTGGGGCGTTAAAAAGGGCTTAATACATAAAAAAATACATACATTACTATACTGTCTTAAAGCATTATTGTTTGGCTTCATGTTTTTATGATACTCCTGTCTCTATTATTCCTTAGTCTGAGGGTGCGTCCAAATTAAATATAATTCGCATGTACCCATATAGATAATACACATAGAGTAGGCAACTGCCATTCAGCATTATAGGTAGCGGTGAGGCGTGCAGAAAAAAAGATAGAAAGTATATACTTAGTTTCTATCTTTGTTTCATGACGCATGCGCATAAGTTAGACTTTAAATGGTGCATAACTCAAATTAGAAGAAATGCACAATATGTAACAAAGAATCAATTTTTTATAAAAAATATTATCTAAAAATTATACTAATAATAATTAAAAATAGAAAGAGATAGAAGAAGAAGGTCTGGTTATTCTTTGTCTCTTTCTACCGGGACATCATATTTTTGATCGGCTTGCTTGCTCTAATAAATAACGCAAAACCATTTTTTTGTCATTAGTTTATGCGTTACCAATTACCATATAGTGACGCATTGCGTTTAACTACCTTTTTTTCACATTTAACTCATTCGTACTGAAAATTGTATATATTTCTCTATCGTGAAGGGGCCATTTTTTAATATCAACGCAATGTAATGCACACTTGGATATCACCTCCAGGTAAACTTCTAAGAAATTACTTAAAATTCTAAGAAATTTATTGTTAACTGACACGCCGGCGTATCCGCGGTCGTGCAGGGATTATGCGATATAAATATAAAAATATTGTAAATAAAGAGAATATTTGAATTTAATTACAGGGTTTCTTGAAATGCAAAAGGGCATTTTAACGTTTATTTATAGTACTAATAACAAAAAATAAGATATAAAGAGTCACAAGTGAGTGTGTTACGCACGCCTACTACCGATTGGCGTTTAATTAGATTTTCATTACCTCTATATACATTTTTGTAGCAAATGTAGCGATATAAATGTTTGATTTAAATATGTTCGTAAGTTTTTAAATAAAAATCTTTTTCTGGCACATATAGGTTATCTATAACGCTATATGAATTTAAAGAAATCACCTCTAAGGATACAATATTTACTTCCTAGTTTATTTTAAAGTATCGTTTAAGTTAAAAAGTCAAAATGTTACTTAATTACACTAAGTTATGTTACTTGCTATCTATAATATAAAATTTGCTGTGCAATTATAAAAAAAAACATTTGACTTATATGAAAATATTTAATAGATTTATGAAGAATAAATATAGAATCAGAATTAAGTCAATTATTTTAATGGCAGCTTTTAAAGTTTTAAATTATTAAATTAACTTGTGTAAAATTTTGTATGTTGAAAAACGTCTCACATATCATACTTTACACGACCTATTAGTTCATTACATAATATGTAAGTAAATCTAAACTATTTTGTTTGAACTTGTTTTTTGGTTCTCATATTGTGTATAATTTCTTTTATTTGAACATATTTACAAACTTTTATTGATAAAGGATATCTAAATATCGGATAATACTTAAATATATGGAGCCATTCAAGTATTACGTATGCAGAATTTTTGTAATTACTAACCCCTCCATCCCCTTGTCAGTAAAAGTAAGCAAAGCTCTTACTCCCCGCTCCAATGTTATCTTAAATATTGGTACTTAAGTTTTTTAATCTGTTCAGGTTTTTTATTGTTATTCATAAGCAGCACTTATCATCAAGTCTAGAAATAAGGTATTTAATGTACATTTATTATATTTTGATTGGACAAATCAAAATTATTAAATTTTGCAGAAAATCCAAAAAAGTTAAATAAATAAATATTGCTGACATAATAACTATCCAGACCCCCTCCCCTCCGTTCCCCATGTCATCAAAAATAAGCAAAGTAAAGACCCACCTGCCCCCCTTTGGTGCTTACGTAACATTTGAATGGTCCCACCTATGGAGATAAGTACTTTGGTCTAAAAACAATATCTAGTCTAAGAATAAACTGCTATTAAACTAAACAATATTCTTTTATTTTTATTCAAATAAATAAACTTATTGAAAAAATGTTTGTAGTAACGGAAACAAAAAGGTTTAATTCATGGGTAGGTATTACTTATAGTTTTAAATTTAATATAAAGGAAATTAGGCAATTAATTATAAATTTTCATCGAATCATTCTTATTTGCAAACTGTACTATAGATTCAAACATTTTGGACTCTAAAAGTATTTCTTATTTATTTAATTTAAAAAAAAACTAAATCAAATTTACCATATACTTAGGTACTTATCTTTCACAATCATCTTTTCATTTTTTTTAAAGTTAATATAGTCCATTCGCCTTAACAAAATAGTGAGTCGTCAAGTGCAACGGCAGGTAAAGGTGTACAAAGTGGCAGTAAAATCAATATTTCAAGAGATTAAGTTTAATGAATAAAAATCAACGTAATTATATTACTTATCTCAAATTTTGATTTGAGATGATAATGACTTTATTTTGATTTGAGACAAATAAATAAACTTAATTATCTTGAATCAAAATAAAGTCATATTATAATGATAATGACTTCATTTTTATTTGAGATAATTATTTTCATTAATTTATTTAAGTCTGCCTTCAACTGGTCATTGTGATATGACTTTATAATTTTGTGCAATCAATTGGTCGGGGGCCGTGGCTAGGCCGGTGGACAACGATGAATCACTATTTTCTTAACGCGAATGTACTATAGTTACATATTGATATGTACTTTAACTATTAACTTTAAGTAACTACATAATTTATTATAATCTATTCCAAATCATTCGTTGTAGTCATTAGATTGCCATGAGTAATGAGAGTCCCATAAACTAAAGCTCATTTGCCATCTTAACTTAATATTCATTATTCTAAAACAGAAGCCATCATTAAAAAGTTATTTCCACACTTACTCTTACAGGATACGGATTGTTAGAAAATCGCATTGCTGTATAAGCTAAAATTGGTTAAGAAGGTAAGTACTTGGCTTCTGTTTTCGTCGTTTAACCACAATTAGTTACCTCACATAGATAAAGGATTTTTAAGTCGATGTTCTATTAGGTGGTCAATAATTTGCAATAGTTAAGATCACAACTCCACATTGACAATAACGAGACGAATGAAGTAATATTATTTTTGTACATATGTATCAGCCTAATTCCAGCTTTATTGTCGTAATATGCCTAATTTTGTATATTTATCAAGAAAACATCATAACACGTGATTTTGTCGATTTATAGAAGATAAGTTTCTATATTAGTGTGAGTTGTAACTGATATAATGCCAGATCCACACGCTTGCTAAGCCTTTACAAACTCAAACATATAGAGTGTTTGGCTTGTGTAAATTTGCAAGCCCTTGTGGCCGTTGTCGGCTTTCGTGCACAAATCAAAGAGCAGAAAAATTCTTCAAAAAAAAACACTCAATTATTTTTTACTTTTAGTGTTTTTTTGAAGTCGTTCTTTTTTAAGTTTTATTTTTCCATTTTTAGTGTAGACGTAGTAGTAGCAAAGTAAGAACAAAGTATTTTAATGAAATATTCGCTGAAGCCGTGTTTAAGTTAGTTTGATGCCAATTTTTATATGAAGACTGACAAACTAAAATTCGCTTTTATTAGTAACATTAAAAAATCAGGTTCTAAAATAAAATTCTAACGTAATGGGCATATCGTTTATGTTTTTCAAATTTAAATGGGACAAATCTGGAAGTATTACATACTTTCAAACAAAACGAAAATTGTCCAAATCCGTTAATAAATGACGGAATTCTGAGGTAACAAACATTTAAATATATGTCGGTTGAAAAATATGTATATAGGAGAGCCCAGAGAAACAGAAGAGATATTTCGTAAATAGTATGCCGAGTTAGAGTTCCAGAAATTCAACATACTCTGTTAGTTTATTTCATGTCGTGCTAAGTATTTTAATGGACTTTTAAAGTTACTGAGTGTTCTACAGAACTCAATGTCTAACAAGTTTTTAATTTTCTTAATCAGCCCTCAATCATTGATACAAAGGTCACATTGATAACGATTGAAACATTGATCCAATTTATGTGTAAATCAAAACAAAGTGCACAACATGCGTCCATTTACTAATCTGCGTGTGCCCACTGTGTTAATTAAAGATTTTATTCTGAAAGGTAATAATATAAAATATATATATGCGCTGTTAAACAATGAGTAGTTAACTATGTAAATATACCTATTTAAATTTCATCTTTCTCATTCACTGGGTTTGAAACCCATATCATTAAGTCGAGTAGCGCTCGCTTGAGAAACTGAAGTGAGTGAAGCGGGTTCTAATCCCGGGTCTTGCACGCACCTCTGATATTTTCATGCGCGAATCATTTCCAACATGATTACCACTTGTCTTACGGTCAAGGAAAACTTCGTGAAGAAATCTGCATGTCTGAGAGAACCTAGGAAGTTTTTGAAAGACATGCAAGAAGTCCGCCAACCCATACTTGGCTAGCGTGGTAGATTGCATTAAATTAAAGCCCTTGCATTGAAGGGAGACCAGTGCTCAGCAGTAGGACGTTAAAAAGGGCTGAACACGTCATATCTATAATACATACATATTTGGTATGGTATGGTATATTCGGGCTTGGTACCGCAACTCTACACGTCTGTGCGCCTATTTTGCGTGTGTGGGATTTTTTTATTAATAATTATATAATATTATTTGACTTTTAATTTATTCTTAGTAATAATTTTTGCGTATTCCTAAAAATGTGATATATAAAAATATATTTTATATGTACATATATGTCCTTTATATGTATCTTAATATTTATATATAATATTTTTTTACAGGGTTAAACTGGCCTAAGGTGCTTGTGGCATATCTACATTTAACATGACATCTATTTATGTAATATATTTCAATATATTTATTATGTATAGTAATTATTTGTCTGTTTTATTATAAATATCGAATATATATGTAATGGCTTTATGGGAACAATGTACCTATAAATATAAATAGATAGTAACAAAATCATTTTTAGACCATATTGTATTTTATTAACTGACCTTCAAAGAGTAGGAGGTGGTATGTTCAGCCGGTATTTTCTTATATTTTCTGTTGGATTTTTTTTTTATATTTCTAATATATTTATTTTATTTTCTCATATTTATGTATATAATTCTTTAAACCAGTAGATTAAACCAGTAGATATATAAATTAATAGTTAGTAGGTATGTATAGCTAGTTTTATGACTAATATTTAAAAAAATATTTAAATATTTTAAACTTGTTACTGGTATCGAGGTCTACTGCATAACGGGCATCAAAATTACTGAGGTGTTTTACTAGCTACAATCCAACAAAATAAAGAATATAAAGTTATATTATTTCTCATTGTTAGTTATATTATGTTTACATAATGACATACACTTGATGTTCAATAAGACACACCAATATAATTCCAATACAGCAAAATGTTGGTAATATTTGGCTCAAACATTAACAATTTTGAAACTTGCCCAATATACTTATAATTTAAGTGTTAAATTGTTGTGTTGTAATAAAAGACTTATAGAAATTCTTAAGTTTTAATGATAACATACTATCAATTCCCTATCATTGTCTGGTAACATTCTTTTTATGTAACCATTATAAAAATCAGTGGCTGATATTTCCCGTTTGCCTACTATTCTGAGTGACTTGAAATAAATGTATTTTTTATCTTTACATAATATTTTTATTGCCTTAGTTTCATGACAGTATTCTAAAGATCCAACAGATTTGTTATTACATTCACTGTCAGTTTCCACCAAAAATGCATTAAACAGTTTCATTTGTTTATCCCAAAATTTTGTTCTTAATGTATATAGCCCATATATAGCACGGTAGAGATTATACACATCTCTTGCACCCATTTCATTCCATCTTACTTCACTTATATTTTTATTAATCTTTTTCGCTGCAAATAAGAAGCAAATTATGATATAACATATTAATTATGAACACTTATTGATACGATTTATGTAACATTATCAAGAAGTATGATTATTACTATATACAGACACTGGACTGAAACTAAAATTATCCAGGCACTTTTATTTATTTGAATTGGTATATAAACTACTAGCGACTCACCCTCGCTTCGCTTCATCCCTAGGTTGATTCCGCATACAATATTTCATTACCATTTTCACCCCCTTAGGGGATCATTTCTGGGATAAAAGTATCCAATGTCCTTCCCCGGGTCTCAAACTATGTACTTACCAAATTTCATCTAAATGGGTTCAGTAGATCTAGAGATTACCCCCTACAACGTCACAAACTCACACAAACTTTACCTCTTTATAATATTAGTATAGATTAATGAAAAATAAATTATTAATATTATTAAACAAATACATACCATATGTTACACCTACATTACTTTGTGGCTTTGCATTATTCAAACTAGTTGGTAAACTCCTTAAGCAGTCCACAAGCATCTGTGCTGCAATTTCTGACAGTTGCTCTGTTAGTTCTGGTAATTTTATATCCTTGGAAATAGCTACTTTTTCTTGGCTAATTATTTCACCTGGTAAAAATGAAAAAGAAAAACAGACACAAATTTAATATTTCTATATAAAAATTAATACATAATACATCGTTTATTTTCTACTTAATACAAGTTTTTGCATTAGAAGGATTGTATTCTTTTAGTAATATGAAATGATGTGGGACAGTAAAATATCAAAATAGAAAGCAGCATTGAAATTTAGATAGGGAAATTAAAAAGTATGAACACACCTACATCAAAAATATTTGGCTTGATTCTCATTAACGATACCCCTGAGATTTCATCTCCATGTAGCAATGTATAAATAATCGGAGCTGCTCCTCGCCATCTTGGTAATAGACTAGGATGGACATTGACTATTCCTCTGAAAATTAGGGTCTCCAATATTTTAAACAATTATTCACCATTTTATTGAAGATAAATAGTAAGTACTTACAATGGAAATTTTTCGAGAATGTCTTCTTTAATTAAATGTCCGAATGATGCAATTAATCCAATGTGATATTGGCCATTTTTGAGGTTTAATTCAGGCCATTGCAATAATTGAATATTTTCCATATGAGCATATTTCTGTATATTGGTTGTTGTCTTATTCGTCGTAACTAAGTCCAATCGCTTGACAAGTCTTTCATTTTTTCTAATTCAAACGTAAAAGAGTTAATGTAAAAGTTCTAAATTGGTATTTAAGTAATAAGTGATTTTAGCAATAAGTATTTTTAAATTACCTGTATTCATTAACTTTTTCTAGACAAGTGAGTGCAATTGAATCAGAACCGAAAAAGAGTACATTGTAATACGTTCGAAAGTGGTTTTTTTGTAAGCATAAATATTTTTCTTTTAAAAATAATTTCCTATATAACGGTGTTAGGTTATAAACTTTTGCTGTCATTATGATGACAGTGACATAACAAAAACTACGAGAATTGGTGTTGCCACTTGCCAGTGCCTACGAACTTAAATAAAGGTAGTGCGATAAATTAATCTAGAGTGCAGAATGTGGAAGAATTTTGCCATTTTCTCCCGCCAGATGCTGCGATCACTATGATCCTTAGTATATTGTAAAGCTATTTATAAATCTAAGATTACGAAATTAGGATTAAGAAATTTTACTTATTATTTAGTTAAGTGAGTTGTGCTTAGATTATTTACAAGATAATCTAAGGTTAAGCCGTAAGTGTCAATTACGATTTACGATGGAAATTATGAAAATTCTAACGACACCAAACACACGTCGGGTTTTTGAATGGATCATTCATATGAATAATTAATGGACTTTCATAGGTACCTACTTGTTTACAAACTCGGAGCTCTTGCGTTCTTACCATCTATATTAAAATGATGTCGGTTTTGAGCAACTTACATAATGCGGGGTTAGATTTCGAGATAGCTTTTGTACAATTCTTAATATATGTGTATTAAAGAAAATCGGGCTAGTACGAGTCTTAGTCCTAAGTTCCATAGCATGAAACATTATTTTTTTATGCTGTAGAGTGTATTACCTATGTTTTAACATAGGTAAATAATTGGTTACGTTAAATGTATAAGATATTTATTATTTACCCATATAGGTAATATTCTTTTTATTGACGGTTTGATTTCATAGTTACATGTATTTTAAGTTATATACGACGTGAGACATCAGGGTTGATTAAGGCCAGTTTACCTATATATTATAATTATATCAAAAAGTAGTAAGCAGGTACACAAACTAATGCTTGCATTTGAAAAATGAAAAAACCTATAAAATAGGATTTTCATTATATTTTTTGCGGTAGAATTGGATAAAACTATTTTCAATTAAATATTATGTACTTTCTCTAGTAGGTATCTAGTTATCTACTTTAGAGTAGAGAGATAACGTTGGCAGAGGTTTTTTGTCTGCTGTGTTGTAGTAAGCATCACGGGAATAGATATATTTATATAGTAACAATAACATAATAATAATCATATTGTAATGTATAACGTACACACAGATCATTTATACTGTCTATAGTTTATAAATATGTTTTTTCTAATGTAAATTTCATATGTATTAGCCCCTGCACTGAATCCACTGTAATTAAACCCGCAACTTCTTAATATTAGGTAGTACTTTATGCCAAGACAGTCGACAAAAAATGAAAAGAATAAAACTAGTAATAAAATAGTTTATTATTCTTAAACTTTAATACATTTGTAGTAACAAAATAATGTATGCTTCGATAAATATTTCTATAATGTTGAATAATTATTAATTTACTGCAATAATTATATTTACTGTGAAAATGTTTTATTAAATAGAAAAATTGTGATTGATTTTAGATCTAGTCTACGAAACGTAGTATAATCTAAATCTACGATTGCTAATTGTGATGTAAGCTGTAATAAGAAAATATGATGTATTTTTTCTATAAAATATTTTTAAAAAGAGCTTTTAGTCAATCGTCGGTGAAAACTTTTCTTCTTTGAAAATTCTGGTTTTGAATACCACGACGGTGGAGTCACTATATTTTCCTCAAAACTGTTCATGCTAGCGCTTCTTTGAGATTTTTGTGACCCTTCTCTATCAGATATTTTTGATGATATAGTATCAACATTATTATTTCCTTTGGATTTTGGAACGCTGTATGGAATGTCTTTCATTTCTATAACTTCAACATCTGTTTCACTGAGGTCTTTACTTTGCCTATGTAGTTTGCTCGCTTCAGTGTAAACGGTCGTTTTAAAGGTTCCCGTCATACGCCGAGATTTATCCTTAAATAACATTTTTTGAAATTCTTTTCTAAATGTAGGATGTGTTATAATATAAATAAAGGGATTAATGCAGGCAGCCGTTTTACAAAATAAAGCAGGAATCATCGAAGTTACAGGAGTTATGAGATCCTTTCTTCCGAATATACCGAGCAAAGCCACAATAGCGTAAGGAGTCCAAGAAACGAAGAACAACGCAATCACCATAATAACAAGGGCTGCTAGCTTTACTTCAGCTTTACGTTTAGCTTGTTCCTTTACGTGTCTGGAGGACATTTGTTGCTCTTGGTTTTTATTGGTCATATTCCGTTTACATACAACAATATGCAGAATCCTGGTATAGCAAAATGAGATAATGCACAAGGGTGCGAGCCACCCTGCGCAGAAAAATACAAAAATAAAGTAGCGAGGAGGGATTTCATCGGTAAGATAATCAAAGCTACAGCTCGTTAGAAAGCCTTCGGGAACATATTGACCGTATCCTATATTTAATGCCGGTATAGTAGCAAAGATACCAGCGTAGAGCCAAGCGCCGACGGCTAGCAAGCGAGCTCGAATAGCGGTGAGTGCTCGGAGGGGCTCGAGTGGGTGCACCACTGCCCAATAGCGGTCCAAAGCAATGGCAGTGAGCGTAGCTATTGAAGTTGTACCGCTCAATCCTCCGGCGAATCCATAGATCACGCAGGCTGAAATGTATATAAATTGTATTTAAATAATATAATTTAAATAATTTTTTTTTAATTTTCTTTTACTTTTAGTACTTTCATTCTTCCGTGTTTGTTCAATGGTATTTAAAATAGCATCTAAAAAACCTAAATAATTGCTTACCAGACTGACCCAGCGCTGGACCAAGGTTAAATGAATTAAATATAAAAATTGGTGTTTTTGCCAACATTAAAAAGTCACTCAGAGCTAGATTGGCTACTAAAATATTTCCTGGTGTGCGGAGCGTTCGGCATCTAAAATAAAAAATGATTTTATTAATGAATATTTATTAAGCATTAAGGATTATGAGAAATAATGATTGCTTTGGTTCCTATAATTTTTTTTGTGTAATTATCCCCTAATATATACCCATCTAAGTCAAGATTTATGTAGCTAGAGAGAAAGGAGCCACATATTATTTATAAATAAATACTGTTAAAATTACTGCTTAGTTTTAGTTAATAATACATTAATAATAATTTATGCCATTTGTATAGGTATAGCTTAAAATATCCATATTTCTCTTAAACCAGTGAATGGTCAAATAGAAGAATGAAAAAGAAATTATTTTAGTCGTTTAACTAATATAAAATGTAACAAAACACTAGGTAGGTACACTATCCTTAAATTTTAACAAACAAATCATATATTAACCGGGTTAACTTTAAATTACGGCAGAGAGTTAAAAACAAAAGCAATAAACTTATTTCACAAAGATGCATAAAATTTTATCTCCCAACATGCTAAATTGGTTATCCACATACCCATGTAAAAATTAGGTAATAATAATTCATATAAAGAAACCGCTGGGAAATACAAACATTATTATTTTCTAAGGCACCTTTGAAAATAATCAATTTACATACGTAGTACATAAATCTATACTATAATAAAGCAAAAGATAATATAAGTAACTTAGCGAAATCTGTACATGAAATATTTTTTAAAAACAATAACTGTAACGTATCATGTACACAATATAGACCTCAAAACAATAGTTATTTTTTTGTCAGTTTGTCTATTCGTGAAATAATTAAGAAAAAAAATGGACAATTTCAACGAAATTTGGTGAAGTGATAACGTATTATTCGGGTCAACATTTTGGATACCTTTTACATCAGGAAAATCTTTCTTTTCATTTCAGATAGAATAGAATACATTACACAGGAAGTGAAAAATAATAAAATTAATTACTGAATAATATGTGATGTATATTTATCTCATTCTCTCGTAGGTTAATTTTCTAAAGTTTCACTTCTACCATGTGTGAATTGCACAGACACGCACTTTTTTATTTTTTATAATACTTACCTATTTTTCTATACCTATTCGTATCTATATACATTGTACATATATAAATATAGTCTGTTCTATACTTAACGTTAAAACTTACCTAGGGACGAAACCGAGTGAGGCGAGGGTGAGTCGCTACTCGCTAGTATTATAATAAACAAGGTGGTTAACTTACAGAAATTCTCACAAGTAATAATCAACAAATACTAGCAACACGCCCTTGCTTCTCTTTGTCCTCAACGTGAGTTTATTGTCATGGCGTGTACCCTAAACAATAAGCTGTGACAATAAACTTTTCACTCTAAATAGGTACATGTCGATAGAAAGCATATATATATCATTTCCGACTTAATTCTCTAACTTCCGAGAAAAGTCTTATTGGAAGGCATTGTGAACCAAAACCTTGCTTTAATTTTAGCATTTCACCTGAAAAAAATACCTAGTATCGGTTCAGTTCATGAATACTTTTATCAAAGCTATTTACATATTAAGTGTTTTCTTTTAATTATTAATTAATTGGTTCCTTTGTGCTGCTACTGTAATACTAGCATTGCCCGCGGCTCCGCCCGCGTTCATATGATAAAAAAAAAACAAATCCTTAGGTTTTACATATTAGTATACTCTTAGATTACAGTTTTCGTATTTTTTCTCAGAAATGAGATATTTTCCCGCGGTGAAAAGTATCCTATATGTTGACCCGGATAACCAGCTATCATCATACCAAATTTCATCCAAATCTGTCCAGTGGTTTTCTCGTGATGTGGTAACAGACAGACAGACAGACAGAAAGACAGACAGACAGACAAAAATTCTAAAAACTATAGATTCGGACTCTGTATTGGTAATAATGTCTATTTCAATTAGATTTTCCAAAAAATATTTAATGTACAGATTCGACTTAGTTACAATTTTATTACATGTATAGATAATTTATTTTTTTAAATATTGATACGTAGTAGGTACAGTATAAAAGGAGTAAATGAAGCTTAATGTATTTTTTGGAAATTTTGAGACGCGTTGGTGTTATAATTCAAAATGTTAGTATTGCTTTATTTATCTTTTTTTACATTTTATTGTGGAATTGTTCAAGCTGCAGAACTTCATTCTACAAAAGAGGTGGCAAGTAATTCAACTCAGAGTGACTCACCAGATTTAAAAAACGGGGAACCACTTAATATAGGTCAGTTGATACCTTTTTATGTAAATCATATTATTTTTTATATATTTTATTTATTTAATTATTTTATTTAGAAATTTAGTTTTGAGAGTGTGTGAATTAAAATCTGTTTTTTTTTAAATATACTATAACTCATTTGTCTATATACATATTAGTAGCTGTTTTGAAGTACGTAGAAGGGAGAACTTAAGCTCTATAATAAATATAATCGAGTGATAAAAATAAAAAATTTCATTTAGACATCATTACGTGTATTATGTCACATAATGTTTGCCCTGCTTAAGTGATAGATAGCTATTTAGTACAATTAAATGTTTCCTACAATTCTTAAATTTCACAGAGATTTCAAATTATTTTTGCTGAATAATAATAATTAAAATGAAAAAGCCCGACTGTGTAAAAAGCGAACTAAAAAGAAAGGAACAAGTTATCGAAGGAAAATAGAATTATGCAGTCGGAGGCATATAAACACCTACAGTATAGAAAGACTAACAAGGATAAAATATGTTCATACATATTTATGCTTCTGATTGCATAATAGTATTTTTAACCCCCGACGCAAAAAGAGGAAGTTATAAGTTTAACGTTACCAATGAACCGATTTTAATTGGGTTTTTTGGGTTTCACAGGTAATATTTGATTCAGAGTGTTCTTTGCTAGTAATCAAGAAAAAAATCAGGCGTTTATAGGCTATGAGCTCTTTTAAAGACGGTAAAAGGATATGAACAACTTCACAGATATAATCGATTCTAAACTTGTTATCCCGTTATTTAAAGACATTGTAATGATATGGTGACCTAGGCTTGATGCTGCAGCGCCACTTGGAATCTGCAAGATTTTGTGTTTAGGCTCATTGAAATGGCTTCAATGAATGGGTTACCTATTGGGTTGTAGTTTTTGTTTTAATTTTTAATTTAAGAGTTATCCTTCGATAACTTGTTCCTTTTTTTAGTTCGCTTTTTATACTAGGTCACTACATAAGTTTTGTCGTACTTTTTTATTTATTTATTTTTTTCAAAATTATTTCCATTATCACTAATATATGCTCTCATACCTTCGAACCATGCAATAAATACTTCGCTCTAGAAACCATTTGGAATACTACCGCATATCTCTTTAAATGCGCCTATAAGCTCTCCATCATTAGAGAACTTACGCCCTTTTAATTGTTTTTTCACATAAGGAAAAAGCGCAAAATCACATGGCGCTAAGTCTGGGCTGTAAGGAGGATGACCTAGTAGTTTCACTCCAGCTTCACGCAAATAATCTGCAGTTTTGCCAGCCTGATGTGCGGGAGCGTTGTCCTGATGCAAAAACCAAGTGTTGAGTCTTGAGTTTGGTCGCTCGTTTTTCAACGCTTCTAAAACTCGAGGCAAACATTCTTCTGTGTACCATTTCGCAGTAACAGTCTTCTGTTTATAAAGCAAGATGGTGGATAATTTTCCGCGTTTTGAGAAAAATACTGCTACTATTCTTTTTTTAACTGATCGAGACATTTTGACGGATGTCGGCGGATCTTCATATTGAAACACCCACACTTTACTCTGAGATTTAGTTGGGACATCAAAACAGTAAACTTTCGTCACATATAAAGATTGAATTGACGTACTTAGATCGACCGCCACCAAATTTTTTTAACGTCTCATGACGCCAATTCATACGTTGGTCGCTCAGCTCCTCAGTCATCGAATACGGCACCCAGAGTGTTCAGAGTTTCCTAACTTTTAAATCGTCGTGAAGAATTCGATAAACAGTCGTTGCATTTAAATTTAGGATTTCCTCGATCTGTCGATACTACACATGCTGGTCTTCTTTAAGCAGATTTCACAATGCCTTGACTTTTTTATCGGTAGTTATCTCTATTGGCCTACCCGACTTCGAATCGTCCTCCAAGTTAAAATTATCGGGAATTAACTGAATAAACCACATTTCTATAGTCCTTAAAGAAGGACAAGTATGACTTAATGCACCACTAATTTGTTCAAAGCATTGTGCTTAGTAAAGCCACGCTTAAAATAATATAAAATTATTACACGAACGTCGCGACGAGTAAATTCAGTCATGTATAATTTTCAAAATATTGCAATAAATCTGCAAAGCTACTCTACGTCACAAAACTTGTACTATTATTGTTTATATTAGTTTGCCTTTACGAATCTACCCTTATCTGAACAATACCTTACATATATTTTACGTACGACAAAACTTATGTAGTGACCACGTACAGTCGGTTTTAAAAAAAGTGCTTTAATTAATAACCTTTGAAATATTTTTTGTGATTTTTCAGGTTTCATTGCGAATTTAACACAAGTTCTGACAAACTCAAACTTACTGAATCAGTTACTGGCATCACTTCAGCCCGCATTAGTCAATGTTGAAATAAAGTTGATTGAAGTAGAAGGCAATAACGTAACAACACTAGGACGTTCTATCAATTGAGGGTGTTCTATGCAAAACTTTGATAAACTTGTTAAACATAGTCTAGAATAGATACATTACGTCGTCTTTCTAATCAATTTATACGTATTTACAATTAAAACGTAGAAATGTTAAATATATATTAATAAAGTGTACATTTAAATTATAATAGTAATAAATTAAATTTATAATTTTTATTTTCGACTAGCATTGCCCGCGGCTTCGCCCGCGTTCAAATGAGAAAAACCTAATTCTTAGGTTTTACATATTAGTATACTCTCAGTTTTTATATTTTTCTCAGAAATAAGATCCTTTCCCGCGGTAAAAAGTATCCTATATGTTAATCCGGATAACCAGCTATCACCAAATTTCATCAAAATCCCTACAGTGGTCTTTCCGTGATGCGGTAACAGACAAACAGACAGAAAGACAGACAGACAGACAAAAAATCTAAAAACTATAGATTCGGCTCTGTATCGATAATAAAGTCTATTTCAATAAAATTTTCCAAAAAATATTCAATGTACAGATTCGACTTAGTTACGATTTTAATATATGTATAGATGTAAAATAGTAAAGTGTTCATTACCCCTTATAGAATTATAGAATACACTATGTAATAATATTTTTTTTTATTGTATTATGATACATGACATTAAAATGACATGACATTAAAATCAAAACAAATGCAGGCAATGGTATATTTTACAACAAAGTTTGTAACAAGGTATTTAATACATTAAATTCATTAAATTTCAAGGTGTTTACAATGTTAATAAATATTTCTTTTTTCAAAATGTATTTAAAAATAAATATTGATTTTAAAACAGATTTTGAAAATAATAATATCTACTTATCGAATCGTTAACAGGACCCTTAGTGCTGCAGTGACTCGAACTTGACTACTTTAATTTTATTTTTTCTCTTGATTCAAACATCGATATAAATCTCTGCGTAGCAGCATCATGTTATATTAATTCACTTTACTTTAAGTTTTGGTAAATCACTTTACAGTTATGAGATTCAATTAACGTACTCGTATGATCAATTATGAAAATATGCACCACATATATAACTTAGGTAGATACGTGGTACCTTCATGCTTTAAGCTTAGAAAATAAATATTAGTGACCGCCATAGCGTATATATATATACCGTAGTTATATATCATAACGTTTTTCCCGTGGGAATTAGATATTTATTTCAGTAAAAAGAAAAAAGCCTACCTATGAGCCTCTCGAGCCGACTTCTTCGATGTAAAAAACCTTTATAATTTATTATATATACTTAACCTCAATTTAGCTTATTTAGGACAATAAAATTGTTCATTATGAGCGATGGGAATCAGTAAATCACAAACTTATGAATATTTGTTTTAGAAAGCTTGCTATGAATACCATGACTGGTTACAATAGACTGAGTAGTATTTTATCCACGTCGAGTTTTATTCGCTATGATACACGGTTGTTCATAACATTAAAAGCTTTTTTGTTTCGTTTTTATATATGCAATGTTTTTTGAAATAACTTACTTCTATAATAAATCGATTTATTATTCCAAGAACTGGATCTAAACAAAGTGGTAATAAATCTTATAGATTTTACCTTTTACATTTCAGAGTCGTTATAGGTAAGTTCTTTCAGTTTAGAATAGGTTTTTCAGTGATATTTACTTATATACAATTAATTAACAAAAAATAAAACGGATTTAATTATCGAATAGGCTTTGAGCGCTAAATGTAAGTACACACAACACGGTTGAAAAAATACTCTTTAGCTAAGATTTTTTCATAAGAATTCGAAAAAGGGAAATGAAAAAGAATAAGTATTGTATGTAACGTAATATAGAAAAACAGCAGCTCAACCATATTATATGTCATTGGAGTCGAGTCATCGTATCATTTTCCCGTTAAAATTTAACAATCATATCTGCAATACACTTGAGAGCATAATCTTATGTAGTAAGAATACTGTCATAACGCCGAAAATGTTATTTAATGGAGTACACACAGTTATACTAATGGAGCAAAAAATGTGATATGCATCAAAAAAGTTTTGTCTTAACTATTGCGGGGCTTACGTACATACGTGTAGTGAATGCTAACTGTTATCCGCATCGATTCCGCGACCTCGCGTTTTGCTATTAACAGATAGATGCATGTACAAATTAAATTAGCCCACGACAGTCGCTGTCTTTTTCGCCTTTACGACAAATTAAGCAAAGTGAATTAAAATTGTAACCACCTATTATATATATATATATATATATATATATATATATATATATTTAATTCATTCTTAGATGAGAATTGTAGATCTCACCATTTGCGCAGTTTGGCCATTGAATCTATTCAGGCGTTCTCAAGTCTCTATTACATGCTGAAAGACAGCTTCCGAACATAGAGTAAAATGAAAATGAGGAACGAAATGTTTAAGATATAAAAGACGAAGATTCATTCCTTTTATCGTACAAATGATTTCGGATTTGTAACATTTAAAGAAGAAACTGTCAGCAGATAATAATAGGTATGGTGTATTTTTTATTTTTTGTTGCGGCTATCGGATACTGCGAACATTTCTGGTCTATTGTCATCGCCACATGTTAAACTAGAGGATTAATTTGAGGAAAGTGAGAATTTATTTAGGATTTTTGATCTATAATTTCATCTGGGTCTAGAAAGTGTTTTCCTTTTCTTTTTATTTTGTTGACGCTAGGAAAATCCATCATAGGGACAATTCCGGCCCTAAATGGGCACAGTAATGTGAGACTCCTACTCACTAAAACCCACAGCAAAACCCGTCGCCGCAGTGCAATGGGGCGTTACAGGATCGCTTGCGCGCACACTACCACACCCCAGAAAGTGTTTCTATAGATGAGTACTTTGCTTGTGAATAAGAGGTCCACACTCCCCTGGAACATGAAGTGGCGTTTCATTTTCTTCTACTTGAAATATGTATGTTTATAGACAACGATGATATCAAAATTCAAAGTAGAGAGAGTTTCTTTATCGACAGAAATATCAAAGCGACTGACAGAGTGAGGTGGTTTTTCTATACCAAGTAACATTTAGAATCCTTTATATCCTGCCTAAAGAAAACATTGGCGTGACAGGTGATAAAAATTTAATATTTTTCGTTTTACACAAGTCGTATGTAATGTTTCTTGAATATTGCTGTGCTACAGCTCGTGGCAAAATTTGCGTAAAGAATTCGTTCGAAAACTTGTAATTTTTTTTTAAATGAATTATTTATGACCTCATATATTGAAATGATGTATAAGCGAAGTTCATAAATAAAATTCACTGATTTTTTTCCTGACTATTTTTATTCTATCGCATTCAAAGCAATACCATTACGAACTCAGTCGATATCGCGATCAAAGAGATCTTTTTTTTTTCATTGAAATAAAATAGTTCCAAAAGTAGAAAATCTTAAGTGTTTTCAGTCCCTATTTTAAGATTTCCAATCATTGACTATGTAAACATTTTTATTATACGTCGAGATAAACTTTATAGGGTTGAAGGCGAAATGGTTCAAACGAACAGCTCACAACGCAAGGCATCAGGCAAACAATTTATTTTAGTCGGATAATTTCAGTTTCGATATCACTATTTCTTCCTAAATATAACCAGTAACAACCCACTTTACTTGCCGCCAATAACACGCAGTAAAGTCACGTACTTAAGCATACAGTGGAATAATAAATTTGGTCAGTGTTTGATGAGCAGCCAACGAAACAATTTTACGATTTGAATATTGAGTGTTGTATTTATCAGTATATTTTATTTTAAGATTATTAAAAGACTGCCGGATATTATTTATGGTTGAATTACAGTCTGGGTATATGTTACAAATATTAATAGAAGTTATATAGAAATTAGCCCGTGTCAATCGAAACACTAATGTAATGTCGAAAATTGTATTTTTATTTATAATTATGTTACGGGGACGTAACGAAAATGGGGACAGAAATTATAAAAGAACCTGAAACTCTTCAAATCGTCATGACTCACGTGTCTACTTTGGTATTACGTTAAAATGATAGACAGCTTTTGAAAAAAAATTGACATATTTAATTTTAGTACGTTGAGAAGATCCATTTCATAGATATTAATAATACTATAGGAACAATTAGCCTTTCCCGTGACGCTTACATGCAATTAATTATACAATTGTAAGAACTTACACGAATCGAAAGTATACTATAATTAATAGACGTGCAAAACGCAGGCTTAAGTTAGTGGAATACAATCTAAAGAAATAATATATGTATAATTTTACGCTTCAATCTCCTTGGTTAGGTATAGCACATGCCATCGCTTTGATGTTCGAGATCAAGAATGCGAGGTGACCACCTTGCCGTACTTATTGAAAGTTTGTTCTTTTTTTTTATGGGACTAAGGGGGCAAACGGGCAGGAGGCTCACCTGATAGAAAGTGATTACCGCCGCCCATGGACATCTGCGACACCACAGGGCTTGCAGATGCGTTGCCGGCCTTTAAGGAAAGAATACGCTCTCTTCTTGAAGGTGGTCGTAGCGGTTCGGAAAGACCGCCGGCGATAGCTGGTTCCACAGAGTGGTTGTACGGGGCAGAAAATGCCTTAGAAATCGCACTGTTGTGAAACGCTGGACATCGAGGTGGTGTGGATGGAATTTACTATTTTGGCGCGATGTCCGATGATGAAATTCAGCAGCCGGGATCAGTCTGAACAATTCCTCGGAACACTCCCCGTGATAAATGCGGTAGAAGATGCAGAGTGATCCAACATCTTTACGCAGAGCTAAAGGATCAAGTCGATCAGAGAGAGATTGATCGTCGCTAACTCGAGCCGCCCTACGTTGAATGCGGTCATTATTTTCTTGTACAATATAAAACATATAATAATGTCTCTATGTGTCTATTTTTTACGATAAAAAAGATAAGAAATGTGATTTAAAATAAAATTGCGATTTTAATGATCATTTAACAAACCTGAGTTTCGTAATTGAAAACATAAAGTTTCCGTTTCGTTCAAACT